TGATCCGCCATCAGCCAGTTGCCTTTTCTTTCAAATCCACGGTTGTGGAATATTGTTTTTAAACAGGAGGTTAAGTTGGAGATTTCAGACAGGATCGACCAACTTCGCGCAGAGCGATAGGGCGTTCGTGGAGATCGGCTGATCGTGCCCATAATAAAAATTTGTTGTGCCGTGACGGTTGCCCAGTTATCCCAGCCTGTGGTTGGAAAAGACTCGGGCTGTGGCTATGTCGTGCAGTTTGATAACTGTTGCTTCCCAAGAGACACATGTCCTTTGTCCAGGATTGTTTCATGACCATTTGTAATCATTAACATATTTAGGTCACCCAAAAGTTGCTCAAATTTGCCACTTAAACAAGCTGAACGATGACATGATGGCTTAGAAGAGGCAATAAAACATTTTAAGGGCTTTATAACTCGAGGGGACTGCAGTAATTTGGCCTCAAGAACCAATCGAACGTGACGATTATTCACAGGAATATCCCATGCGTAACAAAGGGCATAAAGAGCCGTTACAGAACCCTTGGAAGTCAGATCATTAGAACGGTTTGAAATGACCAAAAATAGTGCATCATGTGGACAATTTATAGTCAGTGTAAACTTATTCTACAGACCCAGGCGCACATGACCAAACTAACCTAATCCAAAAAATAAGAATAAACCAAGAATCAAACCTCGCACCAAAATAAGAATAAAACTGGGGGAGAAACAAAACTTAAAATAAACCAAACAAACAAACAAACAAACAAACAAACAAACAAACAAACAAAGGAAACAAAAATAATACAAAAACCTCATTATGGAAAGTATTTTTCAAACACTTTTGGGGGAATGCATAAAGACTTACTTTGTTTCCCATTTGCCAGAATAGTCCAAATTGGAAGTCAACTTTTCGGTGAGGGCTGAGGCGAGAGTGCTTTCGGAAGGTAGCCCCAGCCGATGGACCCTTTTTGTGAAATTAAAGAATCAGCTGTGGTAGAGGTGAAGCTGCACGCATTTTGGAGTCAGATGAAATCGCATCCATCCGTCCCGAGTTGCTGGTTGTAATTATAGTGGTTGCCAAGATACCGTGCTTATAGGCGCTGATGGAAGCTATTTTGAGATGAGGGGACGATTCTTAACGAGCGTTTCAAAGACTCCCAGCCTGCCTGTAAGGGCAAATGCTTTACATACTTATTCATACGCATAGTTTATATTTTTCGAACTGAAAGATCCCTGGCTCTCCTGATTATGGTACACTGTTTTTCAGGCTTTGCATCTGCATCCCACGGAAGCTATTGCAGGCAGTCGAGAACAATAAAAACCAGTAAACCAATATAAAAAAGCAAGCATTTGCAGTTTGTGAAATATATCACCAATTTTTGGGGGGTCGCACTTTATTTTTGTGTGTGTAGGTTATGATATTGGTTGAAATCTCTTGCAGTGATATGCATTTGATAGATGATCGTGTACGTTAGCGTGGGAGAGTGCTTGAAAATTTAATGATTTTTGTTAAAGACTTGACGTGAAATTATCGTTCAACGGTTGTTACTTGAACTGTATCGGTGATTTACACAATGTTTCTTTTTCTTATATGACATTACAGACGTACATCTTTCAGAAGGAACCATGCCGTTTAAAGTGGTGGGAGGCCTTTCACTGATAAATCACATACTTCATTTGAGCCCTTTTTTGAAGATTTATATTTGGTCTGCAATCTAGCAAATAATGACGTCAGCGGTGTGCAAAGTCTGGCTTATATCAATACTGTGTACTGTGTTCAATGTTTATGTTAACATTAAGACACTGTTGTTTTTCAATTAAAATTACTGGATTTTTTGGTAGGATTTGACAGATTTATTGGACACTGAGTAATAATGTTCATCGAGTCGATGGTGGCTTAAAACAAAGCCAAAAATATTAATTAGGCCTCAACAAGAGTAGTCAACGCGGCCTCCAGTATGCCTTTAAATTAACACACAGATATCGTGCACACGAACTGTACCCTCAAAATCACCCTGTCGAGAAAATGCCAAGGGAAATGAAAATAGTCGCACAAATGCGGGCCATATTCAGTGCAATTTCCCCCTTGGCATTGTGGGTAGAGCTGCAGACGATACCGGTTTTTTCCTCTCCAGTGTGGCTCGTTTCGGCGGGATTACATGTTGACATCGTGTTCTGCCGCTGAAACTGTCGGCAATGCGTGGACGCACGTTGCGGTTTGTACACGTACACTGTACATGTATTGTGTGGTACGCGGGACGTCGACGGGGTCTGCTCGGAATTGCGTACTGCTGACAAGAGCTGATTGTCGAGGTACAACAGCACCCTATCACGCCAGCAGATACTAAGAACTGGGAACTGTTGACAACGGAGAACCCGTGGAAATTTTAGGAGATCTGTCCACAGAGCCTTGCAGGGAGTAGGCGGGATGTACCCACGTCAGCTACAGCGGATGATCAAACAGGGGCGCTTGCCCGGAAGAGCTCCCCAGGGCAGACGGGGGTCTTCGTCTTCCAGCTCACGGTCCGCATCTAGCTGTCGGTCCTCATCGAAGATTCCAAGTGAGAAATTCCCAGCAGTTTTTCATCACCTTCTTGTACTATGGCAATCAGTTTGGCATGTAACCAATTTGGGAAGTAAGCACCTCAAAGCACGGCGTCGATACGGCTGGCGTTTATTTGGGTTCACACCTAGCCAGTTTCAGTGTTGCTTTTGCATATTGCGTACATAAGCCAGTCAAATCTGGAATGAGAGTGTAGGGACGCTGCCTGGATTATGAACATTAGCATTTTAATGTTTCACTGTGGTTTATACACAGCATTCATTTCCGGAATTTTATCGTTATTCGTTTATGTCAAAACTGTAATAAATTTAGGTAGAGCTCTTTGGGAAAAACTGTGGAATGGTTAAAATAGTGTCGGTATACAAAACAATTAGAAATGTTTATACTGTGTACATCTGATTAAATATTTTGCCGTCTGAAATAAATAATGGATTACTGTAGCCACGCATATAATTTTGAACACCTGTTGGCGTGGATGTTGGGTTGATATCGGCATTGTTGGTGATTATTTTAGCATTAGGTTTAATGCTCCCGATATAAATCTTGGCGTAGTGCAGCTCAATAGCAGGATCGGAATTTTAATTCCTCCAGAGGAGAATGTGAATTATTGGGCATCTCCACTTGTTAAAATCATCTGCTGACGATGTGTGGTAACAGCCGTGCCCCGAGCAATTTGTCAACTGTTTCATACGGCCGCGGATCGTCTCAGTCGTCCAGAAGAATTTGTAGCCCGTCGTCGAGGGGCCGGGAGAAAGGGCGGCTGATCCTGTGGTAGATTCGTGCATGGCTGCGTTCCAGAGTCCCCCTTAAAATGTGGAAACCTCTTACTTAGTATAAGTGTTGTTTGTCCCTGCACTCCATTTAGCTTGAGGTTTTCATTGTTTTTATTCACTTCTGGCCGGTTGGGCACTCGCGGAAAAAGTGAAGCTTTGATTGTGCCAAATCACCGGCACCAAAGCTCAGGTTGAAAACCGTCAGACCCTGCTGACCTTTGAACTCAAACTTATACCATTTAATGTTACCAGGGGATCTGCTTCAGCTATGTGTGATAGATTCCACTTGTAGGAATAGAAATCCCCTCCAATCCAGGCAGTATAAGTTTATTAATGCATAAACAAGTTTTCCACCCTGGTGTCAGAAGCTGCATTATGTACTATTTTTCTAAACCATTACTTAAGCTTACGAAATACAGGGCACCTTCAGTCGATCGGAACATCGTAAAAGATTCAGACGTAGTTTCTGAGGCCATACACATTATTTTTAAACAGCTTCTTGTTGAAATGGAAATCCTGGAATGCTCTTTCCGTTCTGTGAACATGAACATATAATTTTGTACAAAATGAAACAATTATTCATTCTGTGTATGATATAGATAATTAATTTCAAGAAAGGAAGGAAAAAACAGCTAAATTTCGGCATTTTAAGGCAATTGACGTGATTAAATCGGGCTTTTGTGTACGTTGTACAGCCTGATATAAATTGTCTCAGTGAGACAGAGATGGTGGAAAACATTTTAAACCGTTTCAAGGACCTGTTTTTTGCATGGCTAACATAGCATCTATATTTGCACGTGTTTGTTCCATTCGGTGCCAATGGAGTGCCCGTGGAATACACATGAAATATTCGTTCAGTTTCGATCAAAATGGAACTTCATTGCAGTCGAAAATTCTCCAGGGGGTTTATTGGCTGTCAGTTGTAATCCGTATGTCTGAGGTTTTTCAAGACTCCCTAAAGGGGGTCATTTTTCTGATTTTTTTTTTAACATATCTTCGAGAGAGAAACTACCCAGAAAACTTGCCATAATCATTTTATGAGTTTATATGAGGGTCCGATGTTCTGTAACAATCTTCCACGTGAATTCGGGAAGCCTGCACCGTTGTCTCCTTTCCCCCGAAAGCTTTTTTTCACTTTCTGCCGTCATCTCAACTTCAACATCACTTCAGTTAAATGAAGCAGAAAGAGATAATTACCGTTTCCATTCTGCTCGCGAATTAGTTAATAATTAATTGATTGACCGTGTCAGTTGCAGCACGACACACCATGTGCGTTCGTCGGTAGTAACAGGTCGTGCAGGACTGAACGTGGGGGAAAATGCAAGAGTGAGACAGCCTAATATATAAAACACATCTTCCTTTCTGTTCTTTTAAATTTCACGAGATCCCAGTCTAATTTTAATTTGTCCATGAAGTATATATCAATATTGAATCCAACAAAACTATGCCCTCCATTTTATATTTCACTGAAATTCCGGTTACTGGTCACGGCTGATATGGCATCGCTCATTTCAAATATCATATTAGATTTCAGGTATCTAATAAACAGAAAGAATATGGTCAAGGAACCTAGACGCAAGGACGGGACTTTGAGACACACACCGAACACAGCGTACTTTCCTCCTGTTCTCCGCCACCAATGTACTAAATTCCAACTATTTCCTTATGTGCTTTTTCATGCAGTTGCTAATCCGTCTTCCTCGTCGTTTGCGGAAGATGATGCGGGAAATGCAGCTTCAAAGAACGGCGACATCTCTCGTAAGTAGTCAGAACATGCCATCCACCCATGGCAGACACATGATCTACTTGAAAATAAAACTCGGACAGCTTTAAAACGATATCAAAAGGCAATTAAGGATAATTAGATATTTGGAAAGCATGTTTGTAGTAGCTGACACATTTTATTGAAACATTCCTAGCTACACTGGCATGCCATATTGATATACCGTCCGTGGTTTCAACATTAGGAGACACTGTCGTTTGCAAAGAAGTCGAGGAATAGATTGATGTAGCAATTTCGTATTAGTGAGATGTAATTTGGGAAAGCTCTTTTTTACCTATTGCATGCATCGCGAGGCAACCGTCAGGCAACGCACGGGACTGTGAATTCCACGGAGATGTCATCTAGACGGTGAATGCCGCTAATATGTAACTGCCCGTTTTCGTGATTCAGTTTCAGCTGGGAAACCCTCCCTGATAAAGCAGTCGTTAGTTTCAGTTTTGTTTTCACCACAGGATTCGTTTAGCCTATACGCCTGAAATGTGACCACAATTTGTCTTCTTGCACTGCACCATTTTTGTTGACAAGTTCAAACGAAATACTATTGACATTATATGACTACTTATCCATGGTTACTGAGGTGCAGTATACAGTAACCCCATCGATATAAGGTTTATCCTTCTTACCTTATGATAATCACGGATATTTATCTGTTTTGGAATCCAAACAATTGAACACACTTCTCTCAGTTCAAATTTTGAAAATTATCGATGAGTTGTTCTTTTTCATTGGTTTTGTGCACGTCAGAGACAAAATATGCAAATTCCGTTTCATTTTATGCGAAAGTCAAAAGGGTCGTTTTCTTTAAAAATCCTGCGATTTTGTCACAAAACATAGAAGTGTATAGTGAAATCGGACTGGACAGTGCTTCACGTTAAACTTTACCAACCGTTGCGGCTTACGACGGAGCTGTTGCACCCCCAGCAAGGCCGCCCCCCCCCCCAAAAAAAAGACATGCAAAATCATGCAGTGGGCGCCTGGATACCTGACCTGCTCATCATCGCATCGAAGCGAAATTGATCTGTAAATAGAAACTGGAGTCGGGCGCTTATGAAGAACATCATTATGGCGGAGTCGGGATTTTCAGGGCAGGCGGAGAGCGGTTCAAATGTTGACGACACTACATCCGGAGACCAGGGGATGGCCTCAACCACTAAATGGAGATTTTAGTATTTTGTAATTTTTTTCCCAGAAATAAAATTTAGGTAACCATCCAGTAACGTTACACTAGCCGGACTAGAGGGGTAAATTCAGCCACTGGAAATACCCCCTCCCTAAATCCGTTTGATTAACAGTAGTACCACGTAACAGAACGCTCCATAGGGGTTACATGCTGTTCATTAATTGAATGCGTCCTGTCCATGCATGCTTGACGAGATTTATTACACTAGACATATACAAGTGTGGTATCAGCGTAATTTCGTTTATTGTTTGTACTTGACACACCAACGGGGTTATTTAGTTATGCATTGATATAACGAGGAACCAACCATGGTAATAATCACATTGTCAATTATGTCATTCACTGTGAAAAGTGCAGTTGGTCGGGTTTCGCCTTCAGTGTTTATTTTATAATTCATGTTATATTTTCAAAACTAATTTAATCTAAAATGTGGCTAGAATATACATCACATGTAAGGAGACCAAGCTCATTTAGAATAATTAGTTTTTTAGTTATATCCAACTTAAGCAAAATAAATAAACCTTTGGCATATTCCACAAATAATGCATGGTGAAATACGGGCGATTCACAGTAGTGCGCCTCCAAGAGTTCGCAACGGGTTGACCAATCCTAGTGCAAGAAATCTTTCGACCCAGTGTGCGTTTGGAAACGGTCGACAGATTTCGCGCACTGTGATTGGTGAAGGCGTTGCAAGCTCATGGAGGCGCACTACTGTGAATTGACCCTATTAAAACAAATAAATTTTATAATAATAAATATTCAACAGAGAACGGAAAATTGCTTGTGTGGCACAATACGGGTATGCCTATATTTTTAAACCAAATGGGAAGATGTTCACTTCCATAGACCTCTGATGGGCCGGTTTCTGCTTGCTGCCGTAGTTACCCCCCCCCCCAAAAAAAGGTCTCCAATCGAGGGGGGAACATGCAAGAAACCATCCTCATTCCAGATGAACGGTCTCTGCTGTAACAAATAATCCTGCAGTGTCAGAAAAGGTCGTAGAGTTGAACCATCCTCCATGGTTGGACAAACGCATGTTTTAGAGTGCTTTACTTACATTCAATACGCACAGCATCTTTCCATTGCTACTTTTTTCTATGTTGATAAAAGATTTACTTTTTCATTGCTGTACATGCACACTTATTCTTACGGAACGATTTCAGCGGCAGCCTTTCTCTGCATAATCCCGCCCCGGACGGTAATTTGAAACCCTCCGCCCGATCCTAATTACGTGCTCTGCCTACGAAATTACGAATAAAACCGCAGTGAAGGCAAGCCGGGAACTGAACGAGTACGGTGTTTGGGCTTTTGTTGAGACCTTGGACATGAGGTCTGAATGCAGTTACGGCACCCCACAATGATCTTACATATATCCTGTCAAAATGATGCAATTTTTATTTGGCAGTGCGGGGAGGGTCTGCTTTTCTCAAGAAAGGTTTCATTATTAACAACTTGGCTTTTTTGGGTAGGGGGCCTACAGTGTATTGAGGCAGGCATGAATGTATTCTTGCTAGATTATGCAAGTGTGGGGTAAGTTGCGTACATTTACTACCACAGAGCAAATTTTAAATAGCCAATTGACAAACGGTTTCTGTTGTCATGACCAGTCACTGTCACTGTCACTGTCACTGTCACTGCTTGCATTGCAGCACTTTTCATTGTACAGCGTCAGTAGGAAAGGACAAATTTTGTCCGTCAAAGGCCTGCCCCGAAAAGTGGATATTTCATGGGAACAATTTGATCTGTGTCAAAATTACCAAAGCACATCAATAAAAAAGCCCATGAAGGCTTGGCACGACAAGATGAAACCGTGCTGCGACAACGGTGCCGTAACTAAGATACAGGGAAGATGATTCCGCTCACGGAACCTCCAGGGTTCAGTAACGACTGCATTTAGCCTGTACATTACCGCAGTATCGCGGCCATGATTACCAACTATAATATAGACTTCCCAGTGTGTACTGTGGAAGGAGCTGGCTGCAGAACTGACGGGGTCGTACATAAACATCGAGATATGCATAATTCCAACCTTGCATTTTCAAAACCCAAATTTATCCACATGAGTATCTGTCGGGCTATTATTCTTTTAAGGCAGAGAGTCTGCACTTATAAACCGTTGGCCGTTTGTAATTTTCAAAGGTTTAATGCAGTGTGGCGGTGAAAAACTGTTTCTCCCATAGCTATATGGCAAAATTTCAGAGTATTTTGTTATCACTGAAGGTGTCACATGTGTTGCACAAAACGCCAAGCTGGGCTCGTGGGGGTTGTGTATTTCTGCAGACACTTATACGCTCGCCTGCCGTCTGTAAATTCTCATTAATCTCAAGTTTCTTATCCCTTTTCGATTCTTTACGGTGTACAAACATGGTAAAGACAGGCGGAAATCGTTGACAATGGTAGTGGGTTTCACCTGAAATCGAATTTCTCCCTGCACGATGAACGCCTTTAATCAAACTGAACTTGGTTAAAACATATCCTTTAGAGGGAGCTCCAGGCATGAGGACCTTAAGAGTGGGGATGTGCCGAAATCCCTTGATCCGTGCAGAAATTCGTACACGCTCCTCAAATATTGACTTGAAAGAGAAAAGCTGACCGGCCTATCTGCGCCCCTCATCCTATCCCGGGATTTGTCATGAGGTCTCGTTTGTCGTCTGTCGCCATCGATTTACCTCCATTTTTTGTCTGTTTCGGGATGCGTTCACAATGCGGCTTATATTTTGCAGTCCTCCAAGGCTGCAGGGAATGTGAAGAGAGTCCTACGTTATGACGAAGAGCAGAGAATTATGCAGTTACAGTTTCATAAAATGACCTGCTAAATACGCCCTTTCAGAATCGTAGGGTAAATCTAATTTGTGTGACTTAAAGATTTTGCTTTGCTATTGGATTTTGGTTTTGGCTCGTTTGTAATGATATGTTCACTCTTCGGTGAAGTATATTCAGCAAATCATTGGGGACAATCATGCAAAAAAGGTTAACTTATATTTGGATTAACAAGTAATTTGTGTAGGCAATTTGCTGGGATTTGGTATTTGGGGTTATGTTGTCTGTGGGGAAATTCGAACCACTTGTGTTTACACAAAATTATTTATAATGTATTTTTTACAAGTTTTTGCCAAAAATGTCGACTCATTTTTTATTCCTGAGGTCAGAATACAGCTTTTGTCAGTTTTCATTGTACCCACATTTTGTTTCAGATCAACAGCAATTCATGCTGGTAGGATTGATACTGTCTTGCATATTTAATCTCATAATTGCGTTCACAAACGCTCTCTCGTGCAGTCGAAGATTTAAAGCTTTTGCGCCAAAGCAGAGAACACAACTGTTTAATGAGATGAAAAAACTTTCATAGGATTTGATTTTAATGGACGGTGAAAGCTACAGACCGTAGAGGATAATTTGCAGAGGAAAAAAGATACGAAACTGCGAAAAGAGAAAAGCTTGGTGAGAGAGGAAACTGAGAGAAAACGACGGGGAATGCAAACAAACATGGTAGGAAAAGATGCATGCATAATCCGTTAGGAAAACAAACACGAGTTATCGTAACATTAGCTAAGCTTGAATTATCCTGCGCTCCGGCGACCATATGTTTTTGTACAGGAATGGAGTAAAATGCCATTTACCATTTCGTTCTCGCTGAAAATTGCCCATTACCAATAGTCATACGGAAATTTACCCAATGAAGGGAAACGAAGACGACAAGTTGATGTCATCTGATGACTACAAGACACTGACTGTGAAGGCTTGTTGGGAATGGTGTGCCTTGCGGTGTGGTTTTATCCAAGCAAAACAAGTACATGTATTTACACAAAGATGGTTGGTTTAGTCCATATGTTGTTTCAAAATACTGTTTTCTGCCGTAGATCATGAAAGCGATGCTTGTTGTTCTATTCTGTGGAGGAGGTTGTCAAACTCCATATAATTAGATCCTCATGTTTGATATTTCCCATTTTTTTATGTTGCTATATGTGAAAACTACCCACGGTTTATATTAATTGTGCATTATGCGCACTTGCTGGACGATAAAACAGTTTGTTTGTACACCGAAACTATATTTCCTACGCTGACAATAATGAATATCATTCTCAACCCGAATATAAACATAGGAGAAAAAATGATTTGTTTTTCAAATTACCAAGCCGTAGCGTTGGTGCAAAGGGTCAGCGGTTACAATTTACTGTTATAGCGCCCAAGGAATAAAAGAAAGACGGTTAGGCTGTCCACAGAGCTGTTGATAGAGAGAATTGCGACATGAGTGTCTCAATACTTGTTGGTACCAAAATGGGGGATTATGCGTCAGTAAGTATGGACGGTTAGCACACAATAGCTGCATGCTGTCCTGCGCTCACAATGAACATTTATTGTAATCCAAAGTGTAAAGTTGGCGCTACTCTCTCTGTATAGAGAGCTGTGGCTGTTCTAAGATTTTTTTTTACTATTGTGACAGGTTGACGTAAGGAGTGGATAGGTTCCACCAGTTGTTGGGAAAACCATAGTCTTCAAATGTATAAAGACCCCTTCACCATACTACTCTGAAATGCAGAATTTTGGTTCCTTTCTTTAGTCCCCGTTCAGACAACTTATTTCGAATTAATTGCTAACTACTTGGACCTAATTACCGGCAGACAGGCATGCGTGATACGACCAGTGAGTCCGTGTTTCAAAGCTGAAATGTAAATCTACACGTACTGTACATTGTCTTCCTTGCTTTCTGTGCATCATCGCTCAGTACGTGCTGCGCGCACCAAGCTCCATAATGCGTGCGTGCGTGCGAGAAGTGTACACCACAGATGCACGGACTACAGCCCTCACAAGTTAGCTCCATTATCAGCCCCAGGCCCCTCTGGGGTTTTCAACGGACTAGTTTCAACCAGCGCCATCACACTATTACTTTCTTGATAAACTTCACAGACTGAAACCTAGGCTGGATTATTGGCCTGTGCAGGACCGATTTAAATAAAGTGTGAAATCAAAAGATTGCTTGGGCCATGGGAAATTTGTCTCGGCAGGGTTAAGTACTGCACTCTGGATGCATTGAGAAGAACCTGGCCGTTCCCCCGGGGAATTATGAAATGGCAGCTTAGAAAGAGGAAGGCCTGGAGGGCTAACGTGGCAATTCGCTTCGTCTAAACGCCTTTCACTAGGACCTCGATGATCTGTTTTATCGTGCTAAGATTATTAGAATTTACATAACCGTAACGGCTTAGGGCATCATGATCTTCTCTGCATGATGTTTGAGGGTCAACAAATGCCATGAGGACGCCGAAGCTGTACGCGGAGTCTGCGATCGCCCTTAATTGCAGCCTGGGGTTGAAAATTTTGGATCCAAAAGCAGCTGGCGTCCAAGTGAAGCATAATTATAATGATCCTTGTCTTTGGCACACCTCCGTGGAAGAAACCAGAACGTGCGGTGCAGAATTTAAGTTCATGGTCAACGCAATGTTGACGTTTCAGATGGAAAGCTCTAATATTTATAATAGCTATAAAATCTATGTATCGCAAAGGGCAGCCTTGATTCGTTGTAAGAAAGCTGACCTTTTAATTACAATGCTGGGATTTTGAAATCTAAAATACAACCAAACAGCTGTGATTGTGTACTTCGCACACCGCAAAAACTCCGGTGTTAGAATTACACCGACAGTGAAGAATTTTATTATTTACTGGTGTTTATTTTGGGCAAGGTTTTGGTGTTAAATAACACCAGGCAAAGAATTAAAAGATTGTTGTGGTGTTCAGTTTTAGCACCAAAGGGGGAATTCATTTATTCCAAACTGGTGTTTATTTTGTGCAAGGCTTTTGGTGTTAAATAACACCAATTTGGTGTTTGACTTTAACAACAAATATGGGAGTAAAGTAGTTGGTGTTTATTTTGGGCAAGGAATATGGTGTTAGGTAACACTGTTATTTGACATTACGAGAAGCATCATTTGTACTGGTGTTAATTTCAATACCCCGAATGGTGTCATCTCATCTTCCTTTGGGAATTGTTTTGCTTTGGTAATAACATATAATACCTGGAAATCGAAAAAGAGATTATATAAAGAGTTTGAATTTCAGATGACAAAACTATTGAAATATGCAATTCCAGCCACAAAGCAAACCACTCAATAAACCATTCTGTCTTTACTTCTATTCTTCATTTACTGAAACAGGACAAAAGAACTATTCATTCCAAATTTCAAAAAACCTAGGCAATGCCCTCGGCGAGAACACATCATGCATCCACTCTCCTTTGAACCTACTTAACAGAACCTATTTTCAAGAGATATAAAGGGTATATTCACCTGTGGAGACAGTGAGAAGTGGTAAATTAACAAAATCACTTTGTGTGCTGACAACAACATAGCAATTTTTATTTTCTACAGGAAGAGTATAACAGTACATTTTTCAATATGTTTAGAAAAATTGCTATATTTGTAGGGTATATATTCCAATGGTTTGGTACTTTTGGCAGCTTTGTGAAATTAGGTACACTGTATCAAATATTAAAATAGTGTTTGATCTTACACCTACAGTAAATTATGCCAAGAACTGAAAGACGCTATTGCAAATATAAACCAGTTTTACGTACATGTACTAGCCTATGTAACGTTAGTTGGCCCTCATAAGGCAACACTGGATACATGACGTGCCAATATTAAGCCTACGGAATTATTATGATAGACTAAAATGTAATTTGTTTAGTTATTAGGATAATTTTTCTTTAGTTTTAGCTCGGGTGGAGTCTTTTTACAGGCATTCTTTCCCATAGGCTCTATGACGTCTAGTATGCATGATATAGGCTACATGTATAAGCAATACTCAAGCACGCTTTAACGTGTATCTTGTGCAGGGCATGATCAGACATGTCTTTCGACGGAGAGAACTTTTTGAAGAACAGTTCAAGTCTGAAGAACATCAATTATTTTAAAACACTCACCAAGTTCCACAACTTTTGCAAAGTCGCTCTTCAACTTCCTGAGTTTTCTACCAGTCCCGAAATGGGCATTATAACACACTATTTCGTTACACATTTGTCAGAAAGCAAGGTTGAATAACAATCGAGGCAAGGTATCAAGCACGTAGGCACGTAACAGTCAAGCTAGCATGCCATAATCTTATATCGACCAATCAGAAGGCTTCTTTTCAAAGACCCATACGCTGCAAGACAACTTTAACACCGATGTTAACTAACACAGGTTTTACTTTTCAATTTAAATGCCAAAGGAATTATTTAACCCCTCAGTAACATCACATTTCATTCCAAAAGAATGAAAAAGAGATTGGTGTTAAAATATTAACATCACAGCTTTTGTAGTACATTGAACCCATGCATAGCCCATGAAGAAATAGATTTATGCTGGAAAAAAATGAGAGTAAATTTTCTGTGTTAACTTTCTACATAAGATTGTGCCAAAATTCCAGTGCATTAATTTTGATGTTAATACAGCCTTCTTTATCCCTCGACAATATATCATATATCCGTTGCTAAGGAGTACGTCATGCTGAGACTTAGTTGAATAAATCAACACTAAAAGGGTACTGACAGTAAGCCTATATTTTGCTACTTACAGGCACGCACATGAATATCAAAATACACAAGGGAAATCATTGCTATAGCCCTTGAAAGCTGGCATGAAAACACCAGTATTAAACTATTCGATAAATATTTACGTATTTTCCAGGGCAAGATTACAAAATCTACAAGCGGGCAGAAGGGAAACGGAAACTGCAACGACAGGACTCCAAAGAGTATGACGAGGAATCTCTAACCAGTCTTGACTTGGCCAAGATGGACGAACTACCTGTACCCACTTCGGCCGAGGCTGTTGCTGAGGCTATGTTGCGTCTGCGCAGCCTCGTTCTCAGACTAGACAAGGAAGAGATATCTAAAGATGATCTTCGGAACAATCTCCAGTACGCTGTCAATGTACTTGAGGTTTTGAAAGTCGACCAGAACAGGTAATGGGCATTGTACTGTTTGAAAGATTCTGGTGTCAGATGAAAGGACTCTTTTTTCATTGAAAGGTTGTTTGCTCATATATACCTCTCAGTTGCTCCTGCATTAGTAATCAGTTTTGTCTGTGAAATCAACATGTCTGGGTTTAACTATGCATAGTTTTATTTAGCAACGATGGGTGATTTCGTATGCTCCTCGCTCGCAAGACTTTTTAACCTTACCCGAACTGTTACCTTGTGTTTAAACTACATTATATTTGTCTTTCATCAAGTCACTGTTGGTACAACGTCCTGTCTGGAAGAAGGACGTAAGCGCTGACGTCCTTTTGCCGCGAGCATGATCACTGTAAAAAAAAAAAAACTTTTCCCGGCAAAAGGACGTACGTATTCACCTGTTTTATTTCAATGAAATATAAAGATTTCTTTGCAAAAAGTTTTTTAAATAAATAAAGAGAGTGTGTTTCTGACGCCCTTTTGCCAGAAACATTTTTTCTGCTGTGATCATGCTTCCCGGCCAAAGAGCGTGAGCACACTTACGACCTTTTGCTGGGCGCACGTCGGATTGTCCGACAGAATTATAAAGCAGTTTTTTAGGGAAATTACCCTTGTCACAACATTATCATTTGAGGCCTTTGTACCGTGCCACAGACAATTCGTCAGTTTGTCGAGCAACGGCCATTTTATGAGCAATTTTCTCTCCCTATCAAGGCAGCGCACCCATAAGGCTAACCAATCTCCACAGCCAAAGAAGACTACCACTGCGTATGTATATAGGTGAGCTGCCGTTGTCAGGTCACGGCGCATGCGCCGTGCGCACTGGAGTTCTGTGTTGCTCAGATCATGGCATTCTTCATCGCCCGCCTATTCTCATGTTTCCCCCATAACCTTTCATCGGTCCCTCCTATAGCTGATGATAACCAAGCCCTCCCCTTTGATGCCCCGCCCATCAAATCCCAGTTATTGTGAGTTTAACCATTCATTTTCAAGCTAACCCAGGATAACCCAGTTGATTTTGCTAAAATTAGGAATCGGCGATTTATCGGATTACAATGACACATCGCTGATGCAAGGCTGGACAGAGATAGGCCTATATTTTTTCAATGAGATGCCTGTAAAAGTTCCTTTCGGACAGTACCAGACATTTTCAGTTTCTTGTAACCGCGTGGTAAGAAATTCACCGCAACCTCTGCGCTTGAATGATGTGACAAACTCGAGATTCTGATCCGAAACTTCAAACATTTCCAAAGGTATAGAGAAAGGGAACACTATATATTTCATATATATTTGAGAACTGAATCTTCTTGCCCTGAAGAAGGTACTCAGTTACCGAGAGCTCGGCAATCACATATTTCAGAGCACTGATTTAATCTTATATTCTTGTCGATATTCTGATCACGGTGCTACGCAACCCTTCCATATTTCTCTGATCTACTTTATATTTCATGCATTGTTGCAAAGATAACAGTTATCCAAAACATTAGTGCAAAGATCGTGGTTATTCAGACGCTGCCTCGCGGACAAAGTGACAGCACAAATACTTACTCTCAAGAAGTTTGACTTTGATTAGTTCTGGGCCCTTTCCCCTTTTGACATTTCATTCCAGCAGCAAGAAATCGTTTCACTAACCCCTTAAAACACTAACAGCACGGTATGTCCATCATGTATCTGTATTTGATTATGCGTAATACTAAACATCTTGTACCTGTAGAAGATATCAAATTACACCCACTTGTATATTAATGGTCAATTAGAATTTAAAATAATCATCCTCAGCAATTTTTGAGGTTATTAATCTTACTTAAACTCGCTGCTCTCGGAAATTATAGGTCAGCCTGCATCCTAGGAACAAGAGCAGGATTTCATTGAACACGACTATTAATTGAGCACGATGAAGCAGTTTTACTTTTATGTAAATGTGCAAAAATGCGTTAAATCGTTTGGTTACAGTGTGGACCACCGTCACTTTATGGGCAGCTGTGACGGCAGTGAATAAACGGAACTTAGAATTGTTCTTCTTGAAGTGTATGCGTCGTGAGTGGGAATGTTTTTGTGCCATTTCCTACTGTATCTGTCATTTCCCTAAATCACAACCACTGTCGTTATATCAGTCTAAATCCCAAACAAGCCACTTGCGCTTTATTATAAAAAAAATATCACACACGGTGCTGCTGCAAGTGTCGTATCTGATCCACGGGTTATTTTGATTTTCGTTCAACAGAATATTATTATAAATGTAAATGACTATTATTCAGCTTTGTGCTGGTCACAATTCATCAATTATGCACATCATTTTATCTGAATACTTTGTGACTCGAGCCTCGTCTATCATTGTTTTGGTAGTGTTGAATGTACTGTGCAAGAAAGGCCTCCGCTGTATAGACCTTAATCCGTGTGTAATCCCTCCTGCGTGACTTCCGTACAAACTGTTCCCCCCCCCACGTGTTTAGTCACTCCCTTTAAAGTTGGAAGCCCTCCTGTATTTCATTGTGGTTGGTGAGTTGAACAGTGTGTGCAAATAGCCGTCACCCATCCGTGTGTTTCTAACCCATTCTAGAAAGCGTCCTTTCCTAATGTACAGCTTCTAATGTGTAGAGTTATTTATGAGCGAGTCCCGGTGGCTATGCTAACGAGATCCATCGGCGATGCGGAATAATTGCTTCCTAAACGCCGCCAAAAAGACATTTTCCATTCCGGCGACTAATTCGTGTTTTGTGATTTGATTTGATTTGATTTGGTCTGATTTATCTTCAGTTATTTTTATTCAATTTGGTTTGATTTGGTTTTAAAGTTTAATGATTGATTATTTATGATGGGTTGTTGTACTTACATGAATTCTTAACTTTGAACAAATGGATCTTTATAATGCATATTAGAACATACCAGGTGTAATACTGGGGACTTAAAAGGTAAGCGTTGGGATCTTAGTGTAATCCTCGGTGTTTCTGAGGTACATGCAGAACCTCTTTCTAGGAAACAAAAATCAAGAATGCATGGCTGAAGGAAATGAAATCAAATCGGTAAAATTGGCATCTGTGCTTCGTTCTTATACTTTTGCAGTATAGACTCACGATCAGATTTGAAACATAAGTTGATAATATACATTGTAATTTGTCCCACGTCTACAGTTAGGTGTAAACATTCACATATAGATATCACTGTAAACAGCGTCGATCACCGTTCCATTTTTTTTTGACAGATTCAACTATCAAGGGGACGAGGATGACCTTTCGGAGGTCGCGACCGAGGATGTCCCAGAGCAGGTTCGTCATTGGCTGACATCGACCTTCAGCCGGCAGTCGACGAGATCGCGCCTTGGCGACGAAAAGCCCAAGTTCAGGAGCATCGTGCAGGCACTAAGGACGGGTCTCTTCATAGACAAGTATGGTACCCTGTAGTATGCCATTCACCGTTGCCTACTGTATGGCATTCGCGAATAAATTCATACTGATCCAGAGACTGGGTGTCCGAAGAATAACAGACAACTGAAATGTCCACATAATATAGAATCCTCAGATGGGCACTAAATCGCTCTCACTGTGCAACTAACCACGAGATTGCTGTAACTTGAATCAAAGACCAGTTAGGGCCTTCATGTATCGGTAAATGAGATACGGGCTGATTTGAATGTAATTGTCCGTTGCTGCATTTCAAATGAAACCATGAACTTCCGTCAACATTTATAAAAGCCTAAAAAGGAAAAGCTGCAGATTAGATGCAAACAAGTTGTCTACAAAAAAGTTAGTTAAACACACACTAACAGTGTTAGATTGAGCAGGTTGGCTAATGGAGGCAAAAGGCTCTATCGGAGTATTTTGAATAGAGCGACTGTGAGAGGTTGATTCGTTGTGTAAATAATGATGCAATTGTCACCAAATTGTACCCTTTTGTTTCGTTTTCTGAACAGAATATTCAGAAGAACATCTGGCTTACTAGCTACTACATTTCCGCCAAAGGTCATGGAGCTGTTCAAGGTAATAACTCCAACTCTGGTTGTCTTGAATTCATAATGAACGCTGTGGTAATTATGATTTGTACTGATTTTAGAGTCCCCGAAGTCGTGTTAAGGTTACATGGTTGATATTATGCTTAATAAAGTCAACCATCAGTCGAATTAACTGGTCGAACTCACATCAGAACCTTTCATGCCTGCGTTAGACACACCAAGGAAAAAGCTGACAAAAGCTCTTGTGCGACCACTGCTTGAGTACTGTCTTGCTGCATTGGATCCTCATCAGCAAAACATGGTTAATGCATTCCTCCTTGGTTCGTCTGCTTGAAAAAGTCCAGAATCTGACGAGTCAGATTCGACCTAAAGAACTACAACCGCTCGTCAAGTGCCCGTAACACGTCCTCACTCTAGGTTATGATAAATTAAATTTTGATCTGTGCACTTTTCATAAGTTCGAATTCAGAGTACAATTCAAAGAAAGGAAGGTCAGTTCATGAATGGCACATGCTTATGCAGTTTTCTGTGGCGTGTTAGGCTCATTACAAAGATGGATAACTGAACTGCCATGAGGCGCCTCCTGGGACGACATTCATTTAATTGGACTCCATCACGTTCTCAGCCTTCACACGTATCTCATGCAAGTCGAAATTCAGGTCTACGTACGGTACTCTAAGGCATTAGGACAAATTCCCGTTAGAGAGAAGTTCGAAACGAATTTTCGTGTGTTTTTATAGACCTTGGTTTGTTGTTTTGTGTATCAAGAGTTTGACCTAACTTGAAATTTCGGACAGAATTGTGACAGTCGCAGATTTCTTGTGCAGAGGGTTTTTGTCTGGAGTTGAAAGTGCCAAAGAACGTGTATATAACGAACATCTGCAGCATTGTAACAAGTCTACATGGAGTTGTGCACAGTTGATAATAAGGTTGATGTTATGTGAGCATTGCGTCGCTGTTTTTGTGTAACAGTGAGTTTACATTTTCCTTTTAGGAAGGTTATTGGAGAGTTTCCTAAATGTACAGAGATTATTCAACTCCACTAAATCCCCTCTCTCCCCCTTTGAATCAATAAAGTCCACTATGATTGGATCTCGCCTTAACAACACCGCTGGGGACTAGATGCACATGCAGACAGTACAATGTCCTCCCGTGCCTGTTTACCTTCCTGACCCCGCTTAGGTGCATCTGTTGAAAGATGTCTTCCCTTCCGTAGTCGTGCCTAACCTCAAGATACAGTCAATGTGTCAAGCCGAGTTTCATCTGTGCAAAGCAATCTGTCCAATGACGATCGACATTTCCCCTATGGTATACTATGAACTAATATCTAACTGTTGGGCTCTTCCATGGACCGTCTGGATCCTCCGCACTGTTGGGTATGTAGAGTGAAGACACCAGAGGACTGGTGTTGAAAGCCTGTCTCAAAAATTTGAAGGAACCTGTATATCGCATTCAGCAACAGAAGACTTTACATTTTCTTAATTACTTATCTAGCCCTGTATCATGTGCGCAATGACGGCTCAACTGTATCCCTTCCGCGTGAACTTGAAGAACCCCAATCTCCGGTTGAGCGATTGAGAAGCCCTCTGCTCGGCGCCATTTGATAGAAAATCTAGACATTTTGAGGAAACCTCTGCTAAAAGTAACCAATGAAGAAGGGACAGACTTCATTGTCGTCTTCATGTACGTGGCTGTACGCACATCCAATACATTCATAGGTTTCCTCAGTTTGAGCAGATAGAGCACTCGATCTGCCATTAATGACAAATTGTTGTTCGTCTCCGCCACCGGTACACGATCAGTTATTTTCACTATCATGATTGGGTGCACTTGAATGTGATTGCATGTTTTGGTATCGTGTGTGTTTGGTATCGGTTACCGAAATGATTTCATGCCCTTTCCCGTGGAATTGTCCAACATGTTCAGAAGTGACAGCAACTTCAGCGTAAAATAATGTACAGTTATGCATTTTTTTATATCTGGCAAGTTAAGGAACTTCTTTCATAACTGGCAAATCCAGGTATTTGTTCTGAAAGTAAACATGGAGTCTCTTTGCAGAAATGCGGATAAAGCCTGGCGTGCCTAAACATCGATTTATTACTACATTTAACTCATCGGAGAGAAATCGATAATTCTCATTGCACGCTCGGGAAAGTACTTGCACCTAGAATCAACATAAAAGACACGTGAACTGTTTTCACACCAAAGTACATGCAGTGCATATTTTATTTTATTTGCAAGACGATACACCTGTGGACATCCCAAAATTGTCTTCTCTGTAAGAGTTATAACTTTAGAAAATTTTGTGGAAGAGAAGTGTGGCAAAAGGCTTGTTGATTGTATAAGACGTCTACAAAACGGGGTAACTGTGACAAAAGTGCACGTGAAATGTAATGCAATGAAAGCAGATGTTTTCCCCGTTATCAACCTGAATGAACGGCACCGTGGTCGTTGTAACTACCAAACTACCAGCAGCACTGGCACTTTGTAATTACCGGGGTACGGTATGCAGCTTCCAAATTAGACTGATTTACGCGGGAGGAGAGTCGTGCCTATTCACCCCGTGCTCGTTGCCAAGGAGACCTTAAAGCCGTTGACGTCAATTTCCCCGTAGCGCATCCCTCAAACGTACCATTAGGAGTAATGTCTACAGGGCAGAAGCATTCTCTTCATAATGCCTAATCCTCTCAACTATGCAAAGGAAAAATTACTTGTTTTCTTCCCGTTGTCATTTCTGGTAATTAGCTAAATGTAATGGCCGTTGCGAACACACTCAGCGGATTTCTTGCGATAGACAGCAGTTGTCCGTATAGACACATGCGCATCCAGAAAATAGAAGTCCGTTGTCTTGTATTTAAACAGCATACCCATCCCTATATTTTTGTTAGTTTGAATGTTTGTAAGGGATGAAGAAATCTGGTGACTTTGTAGTTTTGTATCTCTGAATTTCCCTCCATTGGTCCCAACTGTTTGACGTCTTTAAATGACTGCATTTAATTTTATAAGTTAACAAATTTCACGGGGTCACTTCACCTCGTTTTGAAAAAAAAATACAGATTTTTTTTTGCGAGACGTAGTGAACAAATTAAAGATCACAGATTGCCGGTCATAATTGTACAACTTGCATGTCGCACTATAGGCAAAAGTGGCAGATTGCACATTTTGCTTCTTGAAATCTTTGTTATGTAATAACACAAAAAGAGCAAACCTTGTATAGGTCTTAGTCATTTTAATGACAACGTGAAACATCTTTTTTGAGTCAGGAAGTATAAGGCTGTATAGGTTAAAGATGAGGTGATCCTTCAGCCCATAATCCCATTCCGGAGTTTAGCGTATGGTGTTGAGCAGTGCCCCCCACCCCCGGCAGCCGCTGCTTCCTGTTGGGATTATTTGCATGTTCAAATAGTTTGAACACGAATGTTGGTGACAGATGTAGTCCAGTGCCCATAAGTGCTTTAAGCCATCATTTGGTTTACTGTGCAATATCTTGTAGAGAAACGTGGCCATGGAGGACACGTCGTAAAGATGGCCAGGTGCCCCGTTTACCCCTGCCTTTTTTGAGATAATTTATGGTTACCACTTGTTGCAATCACCACTTGTTTGCAATTCATTTGCCTTCGGTAGCCCCTTGAAAAATGTGTACACCCCGGATGCCGCCTTCCTTGCACAATTTCTCCTCATGTTTACGACTTAGATGCACGCCATTTCACTGAAATGTCGGCATGAACTGTGATGCGGTCTTTCTTCGTTTCCAAAGTGAAACATACATCCTTTACTGTTGTCTTTCCTGCAGAACCTAGATGACTGGTCGTTTGACATCTTCGCCTTGAATGAAGAGAGTGACGGGCATGCCCTGAAATGTACTGCATATGAATTATTCACAAGATACGACCTCATTGCAAAATTCAAAGTGAGTATGTTTCCTAGACCTGACACAGCAATGGAGGTTTCATGATATATTCACCAGATACGACCCCTTGCCAAGCTTAAACGGAGATGCATCTCGCAAACTCTCCATGGCTTTAAAAATCACACAAGAACCCCACCTTAAATGGAGGTAGTGTTGTGCATGCGTTGAAATGAACTGTTTACAGCCTTCAACTGCTTGAAGTTTTACTGCTTAAAAAATACAAATCTGTTTGAATTGTTCATGAGATTCTGTCTGACGTCAAAACTGAACGTGGGTATCAGATTTTATAATAAGGGCATTCCCTATCTTGATATTCAAATAAAATACCCACCACTGGCAACCATCGTGGTACCATCAACAGACATTACAGCATCGCCTTCGATACAGGAGCGTTCTGATAAAATTCAGTAGCAGTGGGGAAATTACAAAGACTTCATTACTTAGAAAAACACAATTACAGTCTAAAAACTAGTTCATCGGATTTAGCGCACAGTTGTGAAATCGTTTGGGTCATCATACGGGCCCTCGTATGATGATTGTTGGTACGCTCTGACCAGCGCATATTATTAGAACGCGTCCCCATGTCTCGTGGATATGGCTGGTTTGTACCTCGGTCTTTCAATTTTACAAATTAGAAATTTCCCATAATCTGCTTACCACATGTCAAGTGCCGCTCTCCCCTGGTACACTCCTGAAGGAAGGTTTTAAGATAAGGGTGTCTACCTTGGGAGGGGAAAAAAGACGAGATATGAGTCGAGTGGAAAAATAATGTTTGCTTCTCTTAAAGTCCGTCAAAGCCTCCGCACATGCGGCCGAGCGCGGCTGAAGCCTACCGGGCACTGGTCGTGGTTGTGACCGCTTCCAGTCGAGTTAATGAGAAACCCTGGTCTGATTACCCCCCGCCTACGACGACCCGGAATAAAAGTATTAACCGAATGCCTGGCATGGTTCTGAAGATGAGTTGGTCATTATGGCCACGTTGTCACTTAGTGTTCCACAATACACGCTGGCCACGTCTAAAGTGGAGCAAGTAAATGATGTTGACGGCTGCAAGGTCACGGTGATGGAGTTGGTAGTGAAGAAGCTGACTCAAGTCAGTGATGATGATTGTGGTGATGCTTCCATAGGGTAGACTGGTGTGACTGGGACACCCCATGGTTCCACTTTAATTTAACACGTTTACACATCACACACATTTTCATTACTGAAGTTAACATTACTATCATACTTCCCCAATGAATCAAACACTATTTTAAACTACTTGGACAAAGCCTGTAATTGATTTTGGAAACATACCGTTGGTGTGGATTTTTCAGAGATTCCATTGTGATCATCATAGTCTGCCACTGTAATGTATCTAGGAATTGCAACCTGATGGCAAAACTCAAAGAATTGGCGCATGCGATTGGGGGCACTTCCAGAGGTGCAAGAACACGGAGAAGGAATTGTACTCAATAGTACACGCTCAAGAAAGCAATTACATACTTCAAGTTTCCCCTTGCCATGCACTGGTACAGATTCTGAGCCATTCTGAATGAAGCCTTCAAAACAAAACAAAAACAGTGCCGGGATTCCTTCGTAAAATGTTTTGTTACCTTCGACGCATTCCGGCTTCATTCAGACGTTGCTCTATACATAGATCAGAGTAATGTACATTGCTCAGGTCATGCATCAGAGGTTTTGGGTGCCCACTTAAAATAGGCAGACATCTGTGCATTCTGATAGTATTTCTTGATCCGTCGTTGCCCCTTTAATACTGTGCAATTTCCGGCACAGCGGGCGCCCTCCATTACAACTGGCAAGGGTCGAACGGAGACCATGGCGTCATAATTTCAGCAATGCATGCAGTTTGTCATATCCGGAGCATGTGATGGTTCTACAACATTAACCACGGTGCGCTTGTAATTATGAAAGGAAATTTAGCCTGATAGTAACAACGAAACTTTTATAGATGTTTTTCACTAAAGGCGTTTATTGTATGGCTCTTTGCTGTTGCTAAGAGAAACACACTTTATTCATTTTTTCTGAGCGAGATATATTTACAGTGTTATTTTAGTGTCTACAAGACTTTGTTACTTCGGAATAGTGTCACCCCCATGGGATGAAGCTCATTTGACATGATGGAACAATCCAGGCTCATTGCCACCTCGACACGCTCCGGCTGTAAACAATTCCTTGGCAATATTCTGGAGGCAATTTCTGGAAGTCATTTAGTGCCGGCGTTGCGCCTTTAGGTAGAAAAATAGTGGTTCGTCATTCGCGCATCTTATTGCTGCCATTTGATGGATCGTCATTATGGTCTGGAATCCCTGGTAACTGTTTTGTGGCTGTTTCTTGATCGGGAAGGGGGGGACCAGTACCATAGCCTCTCAAACAGGCAACCGTTGTCAGTTTTGGAAATATTTTGAGTGAAAGTTTTCTTTGGGGCGACTCTTTCAGTTCCCTCCCCCTCCGAAACATGAAAAGAGCCCACTCCTTAGAAGAAAGGCCACAAAAGGATACATGTCGAAATTCCCACTCCCAGGCGGCGGGTCCAGGATTTTTTTTAAAGGAGGGGATCGGGAAATCTTTGTTTGTCAAGGGGGGGGGGGCTCTATTGTCGGCAGGATTGAAGCCATTGGATTCCCTTGTTTTATCCTTAAACGTGCACGCACAATTGAGACCTACCCCTTACGTGGCTCTGCTTTTCAGGGGATCTAGCCATCTTTAGACGTAGGCCCCTAAAAATGGGGGGGGGGTCTCGCGCCTGATCCTCCAAACCCTTCCCCCCACAAATGGCATTGGATCCGCCCTTATTCTTCCTTTGCAAATTAACTGAACAATTTGTGTTCAAGTCACGCGGTGGCCAAATATCGGTCTTGCACCCAGGGTATGATGTTGAGGCCATTGCTGCTTTCGAAAGTAAATAAATTAGATATAAACAACGGCTACATCCTGCAACAACAGTCGCGCTCATGGAAGCCACTAGCAACCAGCTGCAGTAACTTCCTATGGACGCACGCAGTACTGTCAGCCACAACCATGAAATTTGGACTTAGCCAATCTGGCTGGTTTGCCATCGTTGAAAGATGTTTATTCTGTTCATTTTTAACGCAAGACCCGTGAGTTAAAGATTTTACTCACTGGAGTAGAGAGTGAAAAACTGAAAGACAAACATTATGCCATTCGATATTGTTCTTTTCGGTTTTTTTTTTACTGCTTTTCCTGCTATTTTAGTTGTCGCTGCGGTTGTCGTTGTTGATGCAATTCCTGCCTTGCGTATTATAGGATCATTTAGACCTTTTTCGCCCACATGACTGGATTGTAAACAACACCATCACAATCACGTGGACCGCCTTGGCCACGGTGATCGCATATACGGGCAACTTTAATCACGTGCATGCAAGCGCTCGTGCAAACGCTGCATGCTTGACTAGTTTATCTAGAATATGTAGATTACAACCACAACACTATGCACTCATTACCATCACAACACATCATAGTTCCAGTACAATCGTGACATCACAGGAAAAAGGTCTATAGAAGAAGCCAGTTTGGTTTCTGATGTCTGTCTGGAGACGGAGATCGCATGTCAATCTCAAACCATACTAACGCACCAACAGCTTAACTCTTGCTCGGTCACGTACGATGGTCGAAGTTAAGATCTGATGCCGATGAAATGGCATCAAACCGTCTTAGCCCAGCCTTTAAGTGCATTTGGTTTCCAGTCCATACTCGCTCTCGTACTCCGGTTTCCTCCTGCCTCTAAAACTGGACCGTCTTCTATAACTCCGTATAATGAGATGCTGAGTAAAGGTTATGAAAAAACGTATAGTTGTTGGCCCAAATAGCCCGAATAGCTGAAAGCGCCATTAAAACAAAACACCAATATGTCATCAAATAAAAAATGAAATGACGTGACGTCACCCCAAGTGGCGCAAATGCCCAACGACACTTAAATGCCCGCCCGCCCAGACAGACAACACAATGCGGTAGTTAGTCATACAAACGAGACTCACTGAAGCGAGGACAAACTTGGCCAAAATACCGAAGATTAATCATGAACATTTATCCCCTTGATGTTTGGATACCAAACTAAATAAAAATTGTTCAGGACTTTAGACTGTTTATGTGTTGTTGTTGTTGTTGTTGTAGTAGGTTTACTCACTTTTTTGAAAATGTGAAGATTGCGTGTGAGTTTGAATTGCCCATTTTGTTTCGCTCAACCAGCCTTTGTCAAAACGTAACCGCTGAAATAGTGCAGCACGGATTGTTTCATGTTTGTCATTACACGCTCGATGCTCCCAATCTCTAGCTGTCACGAACTCTTCAATTTTGCATCAATCAATTTTAATATCCGGACAAATTGTATACAACGAACTGATGCAAAATTGATAGCCTGTAATATTTGCCTTTTTTTGCTGTTTTGATAAATAACCTTGCACAGTTCTTGTCTTATCAGAGCATCGTTGCATTTAGCCAAAGCCTACAAAATAGTAGCCTTGATATAGTTCTATGCAACTATTCTTGTGCTTGTCAACCCTTGCTCGAACTTTCATTAAATCCACACACACACTTTCACCTGTTTTCTCCTTGTAGATCCCAGTCCAGAACCTGAACGGCTTTCTAGAGGCCATGGAGAACGGCTACAGCAAGCACGGAAACCCCTACCATAACCTGCTTCATGCTGCGGACGTCACGCAAACATTACATCACATGCTGGTTAACATGGGGCTTATGGTAAGCCAGCATTTGCTATCACACCGAAATTTCACTCGATTTTCGTTAAAAACAAATAGTACATGGCATAAAAATCTCTTCTCCGCTTTGCCCACAAAACATTCCATGTCTGCTTGTCTATGGGCCCATCAGGAGAGTGCGGGCGGGTTTAAGAATAATGTTATCAGCAAACCTGTTTAGGAAAAGTCTAGGCGAGGCTGTCAACTCCTATGAAGCATAAAAGTCTGACTGCACGAGCACCAGCCTTTTATCTCTTCTACTCTGTATGATTTTTTTAATCGCCAACCTTGTAAGTAAAAAGTTCTGTCAGTACGGGCGATTCACTAGTAGCGCGCCTCCAAGAGTTTGTAACGCGTTGGCCAATTACAATGCGCCTAACCTGTCGACCTAGTGCGCATTTGGAAAGGGTCGACAGGTTTCGCGCATTGCGATTGGCCAACGCGTTACAAACTCTTGGAGGCGCGCTACTGTGAATCGCCCGTATTCCATCCAAGGGATGTCATTATTTGGACACATTTGCCTGAAAAGATGTATAAACGCGTTTACCCTTCTATAAGTTCTAAATGATCCAATTCTCAACTTTCGAATATTTCTTTTTTCGTTTCCTAAGCACTGGCTGACCGATATCGAAATCATTGCAGCTCTTCTAGCCGCGATAATTCACGACTTTGAGCACACTGGTACAACCAATGCTTTCCACGTCAACACTTCGTAAGTTAAACATCAGAATCTCTTTGGAAAGGCATAATAGGGTCAGCTCTTGTGACATCACAGTCGTGTTTGCCTGTAAATGGCTGTTAAAACTATGGTTGGCCGTCGGTACAACAGAAGAATTCACAAAGTGTTACAAATCCCACGCAGCTATCAGAACACGTACTACTAAATACTAAATGAAAATACAACCTTATTTAAAATCAATGAGACAAATGTCCATTTTGAACGAATTGGAGGTAAAATCGAAAACCAACTAAAAGGTGACACTTCTTCTACTTTGGCCGTCCATACAAGTTGTAGGAAAAATAAGAGTTGTAGAGATGTTGTAGCCCGTTGCAGACCGGTGGTTATCCGGAGCTGAAAGTTAGCCCAATAATGGCAGAAGTAAGCACAGTATCTAATTTACCTGACGCCCTTGAGTGGATATTAGTGCTAAGTGTCCTCTGCATTAAGCAGTAATCTGCAAAGTGAAGTGCTCATAAAAAATCTCATTTCCTGTGTGCAGATCTGACATGGCGTTGCTATACAATGACCGAGCCGTGTTGGAAAACCACCACATCAGCAGCTCTTTCCGACTAATGAAGGAAGACGACAAAAACTTTCTTGTGAATGTCAACAAGGAGGACTATACGTGCGTATTACAAAACTGAGGATATTTTAGTTCCTGGCAGTTGTAATTCTTCTAGTCAACACTGACAAGTTCATTTCCATTTGAAACGGATCTTAACTTAGACTGCATCCGAATCCGTTGTTTAGAGCTAGGTCTTGGTCTTCACTCCGTTGAAAGTGCGTAGAGACGCGCAGACAGTAGACCAACCGTAGCTCTGAAAGCTCGTTTCGGACACGGCCATATACTCTTTAGTGTGAGTCTCCTATGCAGTTGTCGTCTAAGGCCTTGCAATACGCACTTTTTAAGCACTAGACTTCTGTTTCCTATTATAACAGTGTTTATTCTATCCAAAAATACCTCATCGTCATCCATTACATTGAAGAAAATAGGCAACAGGAGTACAACAAAGGAATGCTTATCCAATAACTTCTTTGTCATGACAGTATAAATACCAACTTTACATAATTCCAGTCGGTGGTGTCATTCCCGTAACATTTTTCACTGAAAAGTGTACATCTGCCTGATCGTTCCGATAATATCTCTCCGAGAACATATCCTTAACATCATCTGTGGTTTTCCCTTTCAGGGAGCTGCGCAACCTTGTGATCGACATGGTCTTAGCCACAGATATGTCTTATCATTTCCAGCAACTTAAACAAGTCAAGAGTATGATCAGTGTGGCTGACAGGTCGGTATATTTTGTCGTTTTTCTTGTTTTCTTTTTTTACTGCGAATGACAGTTTCATCAAGCTCAGTGTATGGCAAGTGCACGGCCTCCATGTGGCTCACTCGTGGAGTCCGCTCTGAATGTGTGATTTATAATGCAAACTGTGCATGATTTTTATGTGTGTCCCTGTGGGAAGTCCATTGGAGCTGGTGATCCAAAATGAAACCAACCTGATTGCTGATTGGTCAGTAGCTGTTGAGCTAGCTTTTATATTAGGAAAACGCCTCTGATTGGTCACAAGTTAGAGGTAAGGAAGCGGATAACTTGCAAGATTAATCACCAATACATATGCACTAGGGCAGTGGCATAGCCAGGTTCGTCGGGGGGGGGGGTAAGAGTTCCCACGGGAGGGGGGCAGTTTCCCCCCTTACACTACTGCATATGTATAGCAGAGTATACAGTAACAAGTTGTAACTTAACAGAATGCTTACAATACACGTCCTCAACGATACTGTATAACTTTCTTTATGGATACATAGACGAATTTTAAAGCAGCATCAAAGCCGAGGCTCTCAGTCCTAAGGCATCACCCCCATTTTTTTCAGTCCTCGTAAAGGGCTGCGCCTCAGACGTTTCTCGTTTCTTTATTTCTCAGCAGTACATTAGACAAACCCAAAGCAATGGCCCTTGCCTTACACTGTGCCGACATCAGCCACCCTGCAAAAGATTGGACTCTGCACCACAAGTGGACAACGCTGCTCATGCACGAATTTTTCAGACAGGTTGGTTTGCACGCCAGTAGCCCAACTGCTAACTGAAACCCAGTTATGTTTGCTGCTAGACGTCTTACCTATATTAACATGCGCATTCTGGAGGATTCTGGAGGTAGTTCTGAACAAAAGCCGCAAGGACAGCGGAGAACTGTTTCGGAGCCAAAACCACAGATCTTACGCAGCACATCAAGTACAAATAAACACGATCATGCGTCGTTCACTACTGAAACGGTCTATGTGATGTTATAAGTATGCAAGCAAATCAATTCTGGCGGCTTTCACACCAACTGAGCCCCAAATCCAGGCTATGTGTGCGTAAGATATTACATTTAGAAACTGGAGACCTTTGCTACAAAGTCAGTTAAGAAGAGTTCTCTTCGAAGATAGCCATTCCTGAAGCAAACCCAACTCCCTCGAATAGTATCCATACTACAAACCCAAACAATTTTTGCACTCGCTGTTTTCTCATATTTTGTTGACTGGTGTCACTTTTTCGTTTCTAGGGAGACAGAGAGAAGGAGCTCGGGGTTGCATTTTCTCCGCTCTGTGACCGAAAATCCACCATGATCGCTGAATCGCAAATAGGTTTGTCTTTCAAATCAGTTCGCCAAATCCCTTACATTAAGTATTCGAATACCTGCAGTGTGCAGCTTCTTATATCTATAAGCTGTGCGGCACATTTTCCACATTAGAAGTGGCTTAAATACACTGACAAGTTCACTCAACTCTATCCACAATAAAAAAACGCTGTTCCTGTTGGCAGTTAACAGTCGTTGCTTAACTTGAGTTAAGCATTACTGATTTCAAAAGTATACAGGCAGTCGATATTTGAGCTCAATTAAACATTATGGTGTACATCATGCCTCTGTAGCCACTTGTTTTTGAAGACGGAAAGTTTAAACGTCGAAAAAAATTGTAAAAAAATGTGTGATGTTTTACTTAAAACTGGTTGAAATTTATTCTGAGAGTGCTTCCAGTATGTAAATTGAGGTGAATTGGTTAAGCCAATGAATTTTCAAGTCACAGGGGATGTACATATTTTGCAGTTCTGTGATAACTTTGACGGCCCTTTTCGGCCTTTGTTATACATGTGAGATATATCAAACATGTATAGAGGGGCTTGTGGGTACTGGAACAATGGAAGGTACCCCATAAGGCCAGTTTTGACCCTTATGGGGTACTAAAGTGGTACCCCAGAAGAATTTCACGAGATAGATTTTTCACATTTACTCAAAAAAGGGGAATTTTCAACTGCCATTCATCTGTCGCAAAATGAAGTATTTTAAATAAGGGACCTTCAGTCGAATTTCCAAAGTAGGAAAATGAATCTGGTTAAAATGGGAGTGATTTGAAAATTTTTGCGCGTTGTGTGGGAGTTTTGTACATGTGAACAAAGGGAATACCCCACAGGTATAGCTGTGTAAGGGCCCAACGTTCTTAGCATAGAAACGAACAGGTGATGTTATTCTTCATTCGCATATCAGTACACGATAAACGTTACTCGAAAAATATACACAAGACAGTATTGTCTTGCTACCTTGTGGACGTTGGTAAGCGTTCTGCTCCAGAAGTATGCACGAAATGACTAGCCATCTAGTACACAACATGGGTACCGAGAGAACAGAAAGTATACCCCAGAACGCACGAGAAGCCGTGCTACTGTAATTTTTTTCTTTGGCGTCTTTAATAGTCTAAGCCGCTTCCCTGACAGGTTTCATCGACTTCATTGTCGAGCCTAGTCTCATCGTGTGCTGCGACATGATCGACAGAGTGCTCCAAGAACTGCCTTCCAGCGAGCCAGACGAGAGCAGTCTGAAGACCAAGCGCAACTCGATCCCGTTGGCTCGTCCCACCAGCACGCCCCGGACGAGCAGCATGCCTTCGTATCAGGTAATATGGTTGGCCAAGCGAGTGATGATGAAATCGAGGTCCAGTTTAGGAGGGGGAAATTTACCGGCGACTTGTTTCGTTGTGCGGGGCACTGAATGGGTTTGGTCCCGGTTCAACCATGGAGCTATTGTTTAATAGCTCCATAGTACAACACAGAGTTCCGTGTTTGGAGTCAAATTCTGAGCAAGGTGGAAGTCTGTAAGGTGCGCTGACTACACAAACCGTCACACCTCTGAGGCGACGAGTCTATCAACGCAATCGTATTTGGCCGTCTTTAGATCAGATTGGAAAATGGTTTATACCTTTTCTTGTACAGTTTCTCAACTTTACTCTTAGAAACCACACTGCAGTTGCATTTCCAAAGGAAGTGAGTCATTTTCAGAGCAAGTAGGCATTTTGCACACTACCTCTAAGTCATTGAATCTGTCAGCACTGTTGATTGCATGTAATATTTGCAACACTACCCATCATCCTGACACATTTTACCAAAGGCTAACTTGAACGAATCATTTAACCTTTAGCCTATTTAGCATATCTTCACATAGTTAGGCCTACATCTCCCGATACTCCATCTAGTTACATTTTGCATTATTGCTAAATGTTAGGAACCGACTTTTCCCTCTGGGCAAAATTCGTGTCGTAATTTGGGTTTTCATCGACTCACTCAGTGTGACCAATAGACCGCTAAGTAAACTCCGATTGGCGCCTTCTCGCCAACCGAAAGCTTCACATGGCGGCATCAGTAAGTGGGGACTGTCAGCTCAGATCCTGCCCTGAGATACTCATGTCTTGTGCTCCACGCGGACTCGGAAAACAGACAGATCTAAAAATAACGGCATCTAATGACGATGTGTAAGCGAAGAGAAAATTTTCCCTCCGTCTAAATCCACCGTTTGTAGTTATTTAGGCTACCTAAATTGCTTGCCTTGCCGTAATTACTCTCACGACCTTCTCTCTTGGTTTCCCAGGGTCCGCAGCAAAATCGACCTCCATCAAGCCCTGGTAGGATTAGTCTAACCAGAAAGCCATCGGTGCCCATGAAGGCCATGCGGAGTTGGATAGAGCCGCTGCAGCTGAATAAGAACAGATGGAAAGAATACGCGGCCACAGGTCATTACATAGATGTCTTTATAAACTTATATGTGTGCATTCCATTCATTTTGTTGCTGTTGAACGTCCAGCTCCCGCTTTCACACATGTCGTGCTAATCCGCCTTTCTCTGATGGGCTACCTTGCCAAAGCATTCTTGTAATGCCGTCGTTCCACCATCATCAACCCCTCTTCCTTTCCTTCTGTGCACTTTTTAAAAAAAATTCATCTCAAGCGTGTCTTGAATGGCACTTGTGGGCTACATGCTATAGCAATGAAAACATGAAGTCTAATCTAGTGGACTCACCCATTTGAGTTCGTGCATTTCCTGAGTGACTTGGTGAACGGCCACCCGGGCTGAATTAAGTTTATAGGCCCTAGGCACTGTCATTCTCTAGGACCGCGAACCAGTATTCCGTATGCCCTACTCCACGGCTGCCTTAACAAACATGCACCGATATCATGGTTTGAGCTTCGTATTTTCGTATTGATGCTAAGGTGGATGGATATGGAGTATCCGCGTGAGTTTTTCTCTGTAAACATGCGTTGTTGGCAGTTGTGTTTTATAACATTTTATTCCCGGTATGTTGATTGGTCCCCAAGTTTCGTAGGCCCCAGGCACAGTGCTTATAGTGCTTGCTGGATAGTCTGGCACTGCTGCCTCCCAATCAGTCATTTTCTGTATGTCCTCGTCCCGTCTTCATGTTATCATTTTTTGCTCTGCTGTATATCCTAAGGGGGGGGGCTTTGGATGTCTGTCATACATATGCATCGTCCTCCTTTGTGCATGCCTTCCGTGGATCTTAATATAAAAACATACTGTTCGCTAACTGTCCATGTACCGCACGTACAACTACTTAATTATACCAAAATTCTTGCTAACCCTGTGACACCCGAATATCTGATTGCCACAACCAGTGTGCAGTTTAAATGCCACTGTCGTCTGAGTGCATATCACCCGTATGCCATCCGAGCTTGTACCGACTATTCACGTTGTTGCCCTTAATTTAAAAGTGCACAAGTCTTTTCCAGTTTATTGAAAGGTTGGTTTGTTGTAATTTTTTACAAATTACAAATCTCTGTGTCTCATTTAACTTCATTTCAAGTTTTGTTTCACCATGGCGTTTTGGCTTTTTTAATTTTTTTTCCTAATGATATTTCCATATTCATGAGCAAAATTGTGATGTCACCCTAGGAAGAAAACCTCCGTGTTACATTGGTGTGTGCACAAAAACAACTCCTTTTGTAGATTTTGTTGGCCTGAGTGTTCTCTTCTTTAGCGATTCATTGTTGTGTTGGGATAAAGTAGTAATCAAACTAAACGTTTTCCTTGAGTGAATTCTGGGTTCACAAGTTGAAAAGAAAAAACCTATGCACTAAGACACGTCTACCTCTGATGACACCACAGGAACAGTGCCCTCAGTTATTTAGGACAGCATGGATAATTTACAATGTTTAAAAAAATGCATTTTTCAAAACATTTAACCTAATAAAGATGCCAAATAGTTTCCATACATTGAAAAAGAGTATAAAATTGCACAAAAATGATGTCTGGAAAAATTCATTGCAGCTACACATTGAGACATATTTTTAATTTCTAGAACCTTACTTTTCAAAGCATTTCGTGTCTTTGCAGAGGTCAAAGGCCAATCGAGGTTGTCCAGTATGTCAGAAGAGCACACGAGTGATATAAGCATTAACGATGTCTTCCCAAACGACGATAGCAGGGATGTCAATTCCAAAGACTCTTGTGGGGTCTCCTCGCCGAGGCGCAACTCGGGACAGAGGTCAATAGAAAGTCAGAGGTCACCAGAGGACACAAGCCACCCTGTGAGGGCCTGCTCACCCAGCGGCAGCGGTGGAGCAGACTCGAATAACTCTGGCACTAGAGGGCGCACTTCCAAGGGCATCCCCAGGAGGGTGCCAAGTAATGAGGGCGTGCGCCGGGTCAGGCAGGGTGACTCCTCGCCGTCTAAGCAGCCTACTGCATGATACTGCGGCCAGGAATCACCAACGTATGAATTTTTGGAAAAAAAACTCATGTAAATATATGTTTGTGTGACGTCATCAACATGTGATGAAGTATATTCATACCAGGCTGGTGTGGACGCTCATGGCTTTTTGAGGTTTTCATGGAGGGATGTTGGCATTGTGGCTTAATATGCATCCTGAGTGTCGTTTGTCTGTTCGTCGGTGTAAAGACGACGTCCACAAACTGTGGGGTTGGCGATAGTGACTGTACCAACCTGAGGACTGTGCACGGAGTATAGTGTGATGCAAGTACCCAGACTGTGTTCACGAGGACTGGACTCTCCCTACTTTGTTAGCCAGTGTCAGAAGCCGATGGCACCTACAAACCTATACCGAATAAAACATATAATGTGTACCGTGTTTCCTTCGACTTCAGTCAATGAGACTATCGCGCAGATAATTTAGTTATGACTTTGTCGTTGATAGACAACAGGTAAGGTTATCCTTCCATGATTTTGTTTTGATTTTGTCGTGTTTCCAGACATAAGTTTTATTTAATGAGTTTATTTGAAAGTTGCTCTTATAGCTTTTTGAAAGTAAAATGTTATTGAGATTGAGTTAGATATTTATAGTACGGTAGATAAGAATATTCAGTGAAAAACTTTATTCAAAGTCGAGCAACCACTGGAATACGGAACTCACTGCAGACGGCATGCATCTATATCGTGTTTAGCGTGGTGTTGCACATTGCGAATTTAGAGCAGATTCCGGTGCGGTTTATCTTGCAATACCTGTACCCTTGTGTGACGTGAGCATTCTGGCAAAAGGGACAGAACCGGGATAGGTTTAACTGAGGATTTTTCTGGAATCAGAAAACTTCACTTCTGTGTCAGTCGTCTACTTCAATTAGATATTCCGCTGACAAAACATTGCAGCTTTAGAGTTTCCATTTATCGATAAATCAAATATTTAAGTGCTGTGCTTTGCATTGATAGAAATAAAAGATACCATTTTTTCATTAAAAACTCTTATTCCGTAGACATAATATCAGCGGTTACAAATATCAGTATGTCTAACATCGGGGACAAGCAGCTCCATGTTTTGGGGGGTGTTTTGTTCTGGGCTTTTTTGTTTTGTTTTTGTTTTTTTGTTTGTTTTTTTTTATCTCTCCACTTCGCCCAGTGACTAGTTCCTGCTCATTTTGTTAAAAAGCCTCGAATTTGACTCTGGAATGAGTTGGTCTGACAGGCACGTTCAATGCACGACTTCAACCAGACACTTAGTAATATATACCTTCTTTACGTTATAAGAAAAGCAACTACAAATGGGCATTTCATCGGGTCTGCCTTTCGAATAAGTAGAACAAACAGGTACGCAGTGGGAAAATATTTGTTTTTATTAATATACTTTTGGGAAGGTTTTAGATATTCTCCATTATAATGTACATTTTCCTGTAAATATTTAGAGAATCACTTATTTACATGAACTCCACCATTATTTAGAGGTAATGTTCGAAAGAAGAGAGCTGACTAAACTGTTACTTTTATTTATTCCCTGGTTAAAGAAATTGTATTAATTGAAATGACACCTTACAAAATGTTACAAAATAATCCATCCTTCTGAAAATCCTTGCTAACAACACACAATTAAATGCAAAGGATAACTTATTGTGAAGTAATCATAGTGAGCGTATACGAACCGAATGAAATGTTGATATAAAAATAGCATCATGCGGAAAATAGGGCATGCTAGAATAAGAGAAAAACGCCCAGCTGGTCTTTTTCTTCGAGGGACTAGTAATGCAGATGTGGCTATTCGTGCTGCTGTATTTTATTCACGTCTGTAGGTGGACACGGAGTAGAAATCGTTTCCTTGTCGCATTAAAACAAATCAGTGACAATTATAAAGTATTGAATTTAGATATTTTGGAAACAGTTTAACGAAAAAGTTTCATATAGAACATTACTCAAGGTAATTTGCAGAATTGTACATGTATTTTTCCCCAGGAAAATGGACTAATTTCCTCGTCTTCCTCATATATGATACTTTCATACCTCTGGTCATGTGATCGAACGCGATTTGGTAAACCTATGTTCCTAAAAATTGCCATTATTGTCTTGTTTTTTAATCCCACAAGCTTTTAGGGGTACTAAAGGGAAAAGGTGGAATAATAGCATTACTCATATTATTATTATGCTAATGTTGATTTGATGTTCGTATCAGAAAATTCGTATTGGCTTCCTAAAAGGGATGCATTAACTTAAAGGTGCCTTCACATCGCACTTACACCGCTCAGTGACATTTTAACAAGCACAAAGTAGTTGCATGCGCAGACAGTTAAATACCACTAAAGCTGCCGTAGCGAGTAAGATCATCTGAAGACGCTTTTTGTGTGTGATGTTTTGCAAGAGGGTTTGGCACCCGGCACAGGGCACCCTGAATTTATTTCTCCTGGCTTTTTGCTCTATATTAAATGCATATTCGCTGACTTCAATACAGGAGATTTACAATGGTGCTCCTCCAAGAGTTTGCGGCGCGTTGGCCAATCACAACGCGCAAAATCTGTCGACCCTTGGCAAAGCGCATTGGGTCAACAGATTTCACGTATCTGGTGGGCCAACGCGATGCAAACTCTTGCAGGTGCACTATTGTGAAACGCCGTTATTGTAAAAAAAATTGACAAAGATGCCGTCATAACTTCAGTTTGAAATTTGAAATCATGAAATCCCAAGTTGTTTGTTATTGCTTTATTTCTTTCTCCGCACAGCAAAGCTTGGTGAATTTTCAAAGGGAGTGCGTAGGCCCTATGGCCGGGATCAGATTATCAATTTCACACAATTGTCATATTGTCCATGAAAAATGGGAAATCTTTGAAAAAAATGACTAGTCATCACTGAAGTAGACACGAGTTAAAATTCTCTAGGTTTTCCACTGAATCCAAGAATTTCTATTTTTCTTGACATACTGGTACCGATCATCTCGAATTATGTTCACGCCATCAGACTTCTTGGTTTCAGAAGAATGTTTCAAGGCTGCGTATACGCCCATAAAAATTGTGGTTTATATTTGGATATTAAGCTTATACGTTTGAAATGGCCACATTAGTAAAGAAATGACATATGTTCTTATGGAAGCCACAGTCTCGCTTCTTCAACCGCTTCTCGGAGACACGTCTACAAAGTATGCACACCTCATTTCTAGAAACCAAAAATCATCAACGGTGCGTCCATTTCTCACAATACAGCGAGTAACATGTCGTCCGAAATTAGCAAAATTATGAAAAGCTTCCCCTTCCTTCTGTGGCTGTACCTGTATATCGTAATCAAACTGTAAAAAAAGTATACGAATGAAACTAGCAACTCATTTTATCGTATTTTTAAATAGTTAAAGCATAACCAATCTATTAACAGTTTATCATGATGGTTAATGACTCTGTGATCATAAAGTTATCGACAAAAGGAAATGGTACCTGTTTATTTTGTATGATCTGTTGTGTCTGATCTCCATCTGTTTTCGAGTTGAGCAATGCACGCCCAAAAAGGAAGGAAAGGTTGATGAATTGAGCGATAAAAAAGGACTATGACCCTGGTGGTTCACTGACTGTCAAATTACAACACTTTCCAAGGAAGTGTTTTTAGCGCGCTTCGTGTCTGCGTAGGTAAACTTACGGGGAGTGTCCACTCAAATGGTGCAAGTCTGAAAAGGGGGCAGGACAGGCCCCAAAACACTTCCCCGGCCGGCGCAATAGACCGGCCGGCGGTGCAACCGTAGCATCTCCAATGAACGTCTTTTGAGTACAGTGCATCATCGTGATTTTCTCTTATATGTAGAAAAGAAATTCATAAAACTCTGAAACTCCTGTTGGTTGTCGAGGACGGAATTCTTGAAGGCAGTGGCCAAACACTTTTCGACAAAATTGGCTTTTAAAAAGAGAAAACGCTTATTTTTGTGCTTTAAACACTGGTAGTGCAGTTTATTAAGAGCAGCATTTTTCTGAGACTCAAATTATTATGAGATCAATCGTGGACATTTTGCAAATAAAATGGCTTTATACCTCAGACACTAGGTCACGGCACACTGCGTGGCTTTCCCAGAATGCTTCGCGACTGCACAGTGCCATGGCACAACGGTACCCTTGTTCCGATGTTGTGTGAAAGTCGGCAGGCAGTGGCGAATTACAGTCCAAAAAGGACTTTTGTTCATGACTGTCACTTCCTCACAGACGCCCTTATCTCGACAGGGACATCGTTTGTATACACACTTTGAGGAGAGGACTGCAAATAACTTTTGTTCTGTTACGTTTTGCTTGCCATAAAAACTGTTCCGTGTCAGAGTCATACTTCACGTTGCTTTTTGCGTTTGATTTATTGTGCATTTTCTCGCAGTGGAACATCTATGGTAAATAGAACAGTCCTGTCATGATTCGGCTTGACCAATACAGTTTTAGAATTTTTTTTCCCGCCGAACGATTTTTCAGCCCGCGTAAAAATCCCGGATCACCATAGGTTGCTCAGGACGCGATCAAGTGGTGGGTCCGTAGATGCCACGGGCTTACGTCAGTCCCACCTGGCAATGGTTATTGTTAAACTAAATGTGCGTTTTGTTTGTATTTACAACCGGCGTTTTCGTTCCTGATTCACTTTGTTTATATTCATGAGTTTTGGGTAGAGTAGATTTTGATCTTGAAAAGAGTGTCTGTATGTGTGAGAGAACGTTTTCGATCTTCAAGGCGGTAACATCGAGTGTGTGAGCTGAGAATTTTTGCAAGTGACCGGTACGAACTTTCCTGAGATCTCTGAAGCAGCAGATGACGATTGGCCGGAGAAAATCCAGTCCCTGTACGATCAGATCGTCAGATCTAGCTATTTCAGAGCTAGTACGATCCTTCAGAACCCGGTCCTAGAATTCTTGCAACACTCAGCCAAGACATCGTTGAATAATGTTACCTGAAATAACCGTAAGTTGAATATTTTGTCTTCTAAGAGATTGCTAATGAAATGAAGAGTTTGCTTGAATCGAAATTGCCCTGTGTTAATGATTGGATACAGAATGACCATACATGAGCATGATTTGCAGATCAGTAGGCCTATGAGATTCTCTTGATGTATGACAGTTGCGAACGTAATTAAGGTATGTTGTTTCAAACGCAATGCAGTTTAACCGAATAAGAAAAATTGTGAGTTACGCAGTTGTGAAATGGAGAGTAATTTCCGACATTACTTATATTAGACATGAAACTTGAACATGATTATACTGAATCTATTTGTATAGATGGCCGTAACCTTTAGGATTTGAGAATTCACTTCCACTCCTGCGTGTACGTAATATAGTTCCGGGTAATTGAGGTTGTCACAGTGTTTCTTATTCGGTTAAACTGCATTGACCTTAAGTCAAGCTGTCCTCAGAGGAGACTACGCCAGACTCTGTAACTTGGCTGGAACGTCACAGAATTAATTAACCGGCCGAACGCACGTTACGGAGTGGAAACTCGTGGGTTTATTGAGTTTTATTAAAGTAATAGAGGTATTAATTACCCTAATTAAGTAGTCCTCTCGCAAATCTCGCAGAAGAGTAAAGTACCTGTAGTAATACAGGACAATTTATCACTTCAAATTTAAGGGCGCATTGTACCGATTCTTCTTACTTCAACTTCATTGTAAATAGTATACATAATCTGGAATGGTAAAATGCACAAGCTCAAATTTCACAATCTGGTTTCAAGTTATTATGTGTCTGAGGTATCTTTACCCGGAGTCATCACTGACATAACGACCAAACTGTCCAGTTTAGAGAAGTAATGACATTCCGTAACCTTGTCCCAGGTCGATACAGCCGCTTGAAACTCAGATGGCTTATCATACAGCACTCCCTTCATATAGCCGTTTGCTCCTAGGGTAGAAGGGTTCAACATTGACACTGTGTCCTCTCCAAGAACGCACGCCTCGTACTCAGGCGGCCTTGACTCGAGTCCATGATCTTCCGAATTTCTCAGAGATTCTATGATATCGGATATTAATCCTTGTAAATACAATGGGCTAATGATGACATCACACTATTTACATATCTGTGCTTTCCTACAATACTCAGTGGACTGTGCATGGGTACATCATCAAAGGCCTATTTACAAAACCGCATTTCTACGGTCATCGGTACCAAAAGACCGTCATCACGGGAGTCGCCAGAATTTCTTTCACGGAGGGGGATAAACCACTTTTTCTGTGGAGATTTTAATGGGGGAAGCAAACCCCTCATCGGTAACAAACTGATGAACCATTAACAATGGGGGCATTTGGAAGGTTTTTTCCCTTTCGTCGCTTTTTTTTATTCATATTTTTCGTTTTTACCCTTTTTATTTTCAATTCTCCCTTCCCCCATGATATCCATGAAAATCATATCGGTGATTTTAATGGTAAGCACACAGCTATTATGCAACCCTTTTCCTCTCCAAAACACATAAAAATTAAATTAGAAATAAAAATGGTCTGTTGACTGTTGCGCGAGACAGAATAGGTTCAAAGCACACTCAAACGGACGTTGGAGACGACAAACCATACGGAAAGATTTGCAACTTTAGAGCGAATCGAGAGCAATATTTCCGATGAGGATGAAGTTTCTGGTTCTTCTCTCCGGAGTAGCATCACTTGCTTTCGCAGGTGAGTTAGAGTGCTCTACCACTTGTTTAGTTGTGAAAATCTAGGCCTAGAAGCTGACGTTTCGTCACATTGTTTATCGCAACGGGCCTTATTATCGATAGCCTTTTGGCATGTTATCTTGCCAGGGTCCCCTTGAACCCTAGAAGAGCCGGCGCGGACCCCCCCCATCTTCTCCATTATCTCCCTAGTCTTGGTTCCAAGACCTTCCAGTTGTTCAACGACACGAACCGCCACAAGTATTGTACTGTACACTCATGTATGTACATTGTACATGTACAGGGCGCTGTCACAACAGGGATCATTTTCACAGGAAGTGATATCCTGCGATGACAATTCGTTTGGTGATAGCGCCCTCTAAAAATGATACTTGGGTGCACGAACAAGAACATGATGTTTCAACATTTGGCACGTTTTATGCAACAATTAATCAATTCTAACATTAATTAAAGTAGTATTTTCTCTCCTAATCTCTTACATATTTTTAAAGTTGGTCTTTGCAACAGATTTTCCGTAAAAGGTCCCCTACATCATGGAGAATCTTTGTTACAGAACAGTCAAAGCTGCGCGTTAATTGTTATTATAAATTAATTGTTATTATTGTAACATAAGCTATGGAAAAAATGTACACTATTTTTCTCTCTAAGCTTATGTTAAATGTAACATGGCCTCAATTGGCATAATTATGAGCCCAATGGCTCATACTTTACTCTTGTGAGCGAATTTTACCATCTTCAATGTTTTCGGTCTTGTAGACCCCATTTGACGCACTAGATAAAACGGGTATATTATAGGCATAAGCTTCCCTTGTCTCACACCATAAAAATTGCACACACACAGAGAGAAAATGGAAGGAAAAGTTTATCTGCCAACCTTAATTACGATCGCAATTACTAATCGTAATTACAATGTATTTAAACAGCCACGTCCGAGCTACTTAAAATGGATTTTGAAAATAATACTTGTTTTTCAAACTGTGTAACGATCTAGTTTTTTTTTCATAAAGTAACTACATTGTTCTTCAATGCAGTCTCAAACGAGTGCACCCTGGTGAAACGTCATTGTTCGAATAAGTAGAGCGAACTTGTCACAAGTGGAATCACTGTAAAGGAGAGTGTGAATTAGAAAGTCGTTGCGAGCACAAAATCAGTGACGGCAGCCCCCAGCTAGATGTGATCTAAACCGTAAAAGTGGGCCATACGTCACTTATCATTTCTGTCCAGTTTACAAAAACAGTAACAAACGTAAATAGATGGCAACAAATGAAAAGCGCCTCCCTTAAAAAAATAGGCCTAACCGTTATTTAAGACGGCTATGTGCCTGTTGACGTACCCGTCAGTGTACAGACTTCACTCTGTTTGAACTACACCTCTGAAATAAAACTCAAGAATGGATTCTTTGTGAAATAACTAAAAAAATCTTTCACCAATGCAGGTGCAGCCTCTCCTTGGTACAAGATACGGTTGTTTTCCCTTTCATATACATGTACACACCCTATTGTCCCTTCAACACATCAGTACTTTAGAAGACCTCTGTCATTCGCGTTATTTATCCAATTGAACCTTCTTTTAGGATATTGTATTATTGACACAATGCTCGAACCCCCTTGATAGCAAAAGTGTAACCCAACAGAAACTTCATAACTGCTTTGTTGACTTTCAAGCGATTGTTGAACAAGAGACAAAGGTACCTGTAAGTTAATTAAAGGGCTCATTTTTTCTTGGTTCTGTAGGCCTATAGAGTTCCTACTGTCAGTTTTTACTGGTGCTTTCAGGAAAACGCCAAAACAGCCTCGGCCTATGGTTAATTTTACTTGTTATATTTTATCTTTCCCATTCTCAAGCACTTTTAATAAAACAGGAATTTCCACGATTTCAAGGTGTCGATCAGCCAAGACTTAGTTCTCTATGCAAGATACCGATCCATTCCTAAAGTGGCTCTAGCAACTACCGACTCAATTTGTTAGGCTGTATATCCCGTGGCAAGGGTTAATTATTTATGAGGACCGATATGAACCACATGTGAAGACGTGTGCGCGATGTGTTCTTTTTTTAATCACTCTGATACAGTTTATTTTCTTCATGTGTATCACCATAAGCTAACTTGTTTAGCTTCCCTCAAAACATGAAAAATGAAAGAATGAAAAACTACAAAGTTCCCCATAACGTCACTGGCTTTCAGAATCTAAAAATGCAGAGAAAGCATATTTGGATTAGCCCTAAAGGATCAATATTTCAAATTCAACAAACAATGATTGTGGAATATTTCAAATTATCGTTAATGGAAAGACTTTNCTGAGTTAAAAATAGATTATGCTCCCAGCGGCACTTTCTACATAATGTCAGTAAAAAACTAAATGTTGTGCTGTCTGAAGTACTATAAAATTCTTTACAAATTACTTCCCAATGTTACGTTAGAAAAAATCACACTTGTAATTATTCAGATACAAAATCCAAGACGTGGCAAGATAAGAATTAATTTAAAATGTGCAGTGAAGCTACAGATTGCTGATTCTTGAGTGCTGGGGGTTTTTCGTATTCATCTATTTCATTTCCATTTTGCAAACAGTCCTAGGTTAGCTCATCAAAATATGAACTATATATAGGTGAGAGAGTGGTAAGTTATGGTCTCTACCAAATATTCTAAAGCGTTTTTTCTCCTTTAACTCTCTGCATGGTTACACCTTTTCACACCTGACAAAGATGTGACAACCTGAATTATATAATCCACAAAAATAACAGAAAAGATGAGAAAATATGAAACTGAAAGCTGAAAAATCACACCACGTATACGGAAACTAAACAATGTTCACTCTTTAGGGATCACAAATCGATGTTGATCTTGCACTTTGTTCATAAATTCGTTTGTTTCCTCTGTTCATCAGATGGATTTGCACACCTGTCTGAAAAATTCACGGAACCTTAAAAGTGCATTTCAAATTTCAGCTTATGAAACCGCAACAAAAAGTTGCAATTATCCTTTAGTTACACTCACCTCCTTTTATTGAAACAATATCTCCCTTTTCCCTCTCATTTCACGTGGGCCATCCCATCCGGCTTTACACAATACCCGTATAAATCCCCACATCAAGTTGGTGTATTGTCGTTCCTGATATCATTTATTTATGGTCATCTTTAATGAAGGTCATACACCAGGTAGGCTCATTCTTAATGAAAAAGACAATGATGAAACGGTCAGTTTCCTAACATTTCAGATGGTAGTAAACAAGTAAAAATGAGTGGTTCACATTTGTACAGTGTAAAAAATACTGCCATGAGATGAGAGACGAAATGTGTAATTAAATGAGGCAATCTGTCAACTTACAAAACAATTGTTGTCCAATGCACTCAAAAACACTTTCTATACTGGGAAGACAAGGAAGTGTCTGTGAATGAAAACACACATCTTAAAGTCTTGTTCCATATTCCTGGATGTTCTGGTCATAGGACTGCAGAGACATATCGAAGGTCTAATGGGGGCATTTTATTATCTTCAGGGGCACTCATTTGACTTCGTACTTTGTTCCCCACCCAAATTCTGAGGAGGAGGCACCTCTTTCATTGTGCAACTGTGGTCACTCAGTTTCCCCATACCTATTTTCTGTCTATAATGGCTGTTGGGCTACGCTCTAAGCTAAAGAATCTTTCACATGCACTTTCTTTCCATTAGTTGGTGGAAAGTAGCGGCATTTCGAGTCAAAACATAACCTACCAACCCATAATCTTCCCCCTCTGTCTTAGACTCTGACCTTGTGAGCTAAGCATCAGCTCCTTCCAAAAAGAGCATATAACTACTGCCTGAGTCCATGACCAGGCCTCAGTCACTACGATCAGGGCTTCCCTTGACCCTCTGCATCTGGCTTGGGCTTTGGTTTGGGCCTGGGCCGGAATGACTTCTTCTTGGCCACAAACATCCTCCTCTCGTAGTTCTCCTTGGGCCAGTGGACATAGTAGGAGAAGACCCAGGGGCGGGTCATACCCTGGGTCTGCCTCATGGAGTTCAGGTGGTCTCGCTGGGCCTGGTTGAGTTCACGGCGCCTGAGGGCCCAGGCGCGCCGACGGGCCAGCTCTCTCTGGACTCGCTCTCGAGCTTCCTCTTCAAGTTTCTGAATCTGAGTGTGAACAATAGAAAACCAAAATTTCTGTTTGCTATTTTTTGGAATGGATATTCGGGACCTGACATCAATCAAATGGTGTACATGTACTAGAGTTTCAATATTTTAGGTAGGCAGGCTAGGAACATGTTTTCATGTTTAAGCCTGGGGGTTGCAGTGCTCAGCACAAAAAGTTCCTGTGCAGGGATAAATGCTGCACTTCTCTTTGCTTATCCAAGCACTGGCAACAACTTTTATTGTCCATGGACCAGAAGTGGAGTGGGAACAGCCAGTGCATTTGAACTGTGAAATTTAGAGTATGTTCAACAAATTGATTCTGTCATCTCAAATGTGTGGAATCTCATTCTGACATGTCTGAAGCTGAAAAAAAAAAAGACACAAACTTTTGGATAAAAACAGAATTTTGAGCTGGGTCTGTGAATGTGTGTTTATGCAAACGTGCTCTTAATTAAAATATTAAACATTGAAAAATGCCCTGGCATGAAGTGGTTAAAGTATTGAGATATGAACACAAACTCAAAAAAAAAAATGGTACTTGCACATCAAACAGTAGTGCTTATTTCTCAGTGCACAAACTGCATATTTCAACTATTTCTATGGAGAAGTATGTCTTCCCTCGTCAGGAAAGATCAGTGAAATACAGACATTTACCTTTTTAATCCTCTCCAGCTCCTCCTGTCTTTTCCTCTCGGCTTCCGCTTCCTGCCGCTTCTGTCGCTCCTCTTCATCCGCCTTCCTCTTCTCCTCTTCCAGCCTCAGTCGCTCCTCCTCTTGCCTCTGCCTCTCCGCCTCCTCTCTGGCGATCCTCATCCTTCGCTCTGCCTCTTCTCGTTCCTTCACCAAGCGGGCAATAGCCTCTTCCTCAGCCTGAGAGTACAGTACAAACCAAACTCATTGATTGATTCCATTAGGATCCTTTTATAACGGTCGCAATCAAATCAGAATAATAAATGTTCGTCTTCTTTCAAGCAGCAAGTGTTGAACTTAAGCAAAGTGTAACAAAGTTTATTTCAGTATCCGCCTTGAGTAGAAGCACCCCTTTAGCATTGAAAAGCCATATTGTAGAGTGTTCCATCAAGCACCATCTTCTTGGTAGCTACGTGACTGCAATGCATGCATTTCATAATCATTCGTTAGCCAATGAAGAGCAGTTCCCATCAAAGGAGGAACTGCTAAGAAAACTGTGCCCTCTCTTGATCCCATTAAGGGCAAATTCCTTAAAGTGGTGTGATCTGAGTTGCTACCCCGTAAATGTGCCTTCTGTAAATTGTGAAGATTCTTTGCTGGCTGTGAGCCGTGCAATTTTGCCCAGCGCTGTGGTGGCTGCATTTCAAAGCTAAGATAGGATTTACAGTCTTCTAAAATCTCATCCCAGTACATCCACAGCAAGTCGTCCTGTCTGAATTAAACCACAATCTATTCAAATGAATGGTAGTAAAACCGTGCCATTCCTACATCACTGTTCACAATGATACTTGTGACTTTTCTTGTGAAAGGACTTTTGGTGGACTAAACAACCACACTGTGAGGAGGCTTCTTGAACCCTTAGGACCATCACAACACTCCCAGTCTGAATTCAAGTCACATGCTATTCAAATGAACTGCAACAAAAGCATTCCTTTATCATTGTTCATCCTCTTACTTGTGACTGGTCTTGTGTCTAGTCTTCACTACAACCCAGCCAATGTATCTCTAACGGCATATCTCTCCACTAGGAGCAAACCCACCTCTCTCTCTAGCTCTCGGATTCTCTCTTCCTCTTCCTCCAGTCGCCGTTTCTCTTCCTCTTCTTCCCGTTCCCTCTCTTCTTGCTCCAGACGTTCCTGCTCCTGGCTCTCCCACTCTGCCTCTTCTCGGAGGCGGCGCTTCTCTGCAGCACTGGCTAGCCGCTCGGCCATCTCCTGCTCCCGCAGTCTGGCTGCTTCCTCCTGTAAGAGCCAGTCATCAAGTGCAACCAATGACGAGGTACTTTCCAACTAATTTGAACATGGAGTTGTTATGACTGATGTCAACTCTTCTTTTCAAAACGATTTTGATGGAGTTAAACAGACCTGACTCGAATCACTGTGACCAAATGATGTGGCACAAATTGACTCAAGAATGAATTTGACTCAACTTTAATACACAGAGTGATAACTGGACCATCTCTCTCTAATGATTGAACTCGACTCCAGCCATTTTGTGAAAATGACTTATTTGGCTCATCATTTGGTCACTCAGTACGGTGATTCATTACAATACTGACTCCGATATCTGTACTCGGACTTGATGCCAACTTTCGGTCCAAATTCCCTCGGACTTAATAAGTATTGGAATTAAAATAGCAGGATTTATAATTTGCAAATCCTGTTAGTGGACAATTGAAGTAAAGGAAATAAATATTAGTGACCTAAGCATCTGCCCCAGTTCCAATTGCCTCTGACTGTGTACAAGACTCACAGACCATATCAAAACATACAACTGTGTAGTGACTGCACATTTTTGAGAATATTCTCACATAGCTCATCAGCACTAACACATGGCAGTGAAGAATGACAAATATGGGAATTGCCCAGACGTGAACCAGGTAGAGTCATTTGTGCATAAATTGGCAATGGGAAACAGTGCATCTCAGAGAAAATTACGTGCAAAAAGATTCACTGAATGACCAAAAAGTGAAGACAAAGGTTTAATACAGGTTAAACTCGTTATCCGGTCAATCTCCTTGAAATACAATGCATCTATTGCATGATCAACTCATCATATGATAGCACCCTGACCATTTTCCTGCGCTCCTGCCTCTGTTGCTCTTTCTCCAGCTTCCTCTTCTCTAGCTCCGCCTTCCTCCTTGTCTCTCTCTCTTCCCGTGCTTGTCGCCGGGCATCTAGCAGCATCTGCCTGGCCTCCTCCTCGGCTTGCGCCGCACGCTCCGCCTCCTGGGCAGCATCCTCAAGCTCCTCCTTTGCCACCTTTATCATTTGATGACAGAGTAAATTTTCAAAATTAGCTTTAGGAATGAACAAACAACATTTTCCAAGTGCGCTAAGCATACACCTTTGAATACCAGATCACCCTAATGACAGCCAGTGTTGCAGTCCAAATCTGAACTGTTTGCATATATATTTGTACATTTCTTACATGGGCCTATGCCTGTCATCTCTATGCCCGAGCACCTTAATATTCAAGCAAATCAGATACACTGCCTTGACACCTTATTCCCAGTATTTTCTTTCCAATTGAGGATACCAAAAACGGAGTCAATCACAAAGCCAGTGCAGTAGTGGGGTGGTCAGCATGCTCACTGATATTTCCAACTTTCCATACAAGATACCAATTTGCAGCCAGTCTCAAAGACTCCTTAGAAATTACTTATAGTAGGCATTCATCTAACATCTAACACTGATCCTTCTGTAACCAAATGCTCAAAGGACTCTGTCCCATATCGCAGTGATGTATGGAACTCGTTGTTTTGAAGGAAAGAAAACAACATCCATCTGATGGAACTTCAGCGCAAAATTGAAACACCAACTTGGTCAGGGTGTGGGAATAAGTTGGATGTAAACTAAATCTCTTGCTCTTTGTGATCTTAACACCTAATAAAGAGGTAACATTTCAGAATAACTCTCTGAAATCACTGTCAATCTGCACATTATGAAATCACATTTAGCAAAGTCATTTTAAATCTGCACACTACAAAAATCACTGACGGCAAAATTCAAACTGGACTAAGTTAATAATGTAAGGTAATTTGAACTGAACAAGCAACTTTACCTGTATTCTTCTTTGCTCAGCAATCTTTTCTCGTCTTTTTTGTTCCTCTTTTTCTTTCTTCTTTCGCTCTAAAGCCTTCAACTCTTCTTCCCGGCGCTGTAAAAACAGAGCAAATTAATGTTTGGTAAAGATACAGCACCATGGCGAGAAAGAGTTCTGAATTCGTTTGAGATGATTACTGTACAAGAGATTGTAAATTTAATGGCATGGCTGAAGAACTTCATGCCATGGATATCAGCATTTACAGAAAAACGTTTGAAGAAGAGATGACCAGAATCTAACTTCCTTTGTAAATGTTAACCCTAAGATCCCCCCTTGAGAAACCAATATTTCCAAGACAGGTCAGCCAAAAATGTATACTTTTCCCACCCACGTGCTAAATGCATATGGGCAAGTGAACTTGAGGCCACAGACTTCAAATGGGCAAAACGACAAACTGGACGCCAGAGTGAATTGAAACTCACAGATGTGTATGTCTATGTGTAAGTGTCTTTACATGCAGGCTAAAAGATCAGGCATAGAGCAGGTCAGTTTAAAGGGTTTGCCTCATCCCTCCCTATGGAGAGATGGTTTAAGGTTCAGTGTGTTGTTATCATGGTATAATCACAATTTTACCAAAACAGGAAAAGAACCCTGACTTCAACGTTTTCAACAATTCAGTTACATTTTCATTTCCAAGGTTTTTGAGTCACTTACAACTTTTTCCTGTCGCCGTGCTTCCCTCAGTGCTGCCTTCTCTTTGGCTAGGCTTTTCTTGGATTTCTTCATCTTCCCAGGCTCAGCTTGCTTTTTGAGTTCCTTCTCAAGGGCTTCATCGTCTGTGGCCAGGGAAGCTGCATCATCCACCCTCTCCTCTGGAACAACTAGAAAAAACAAAACAAAAAAACAGGAAGGCTAAATCAGGATTAAAATCCAGCTTACAAGAAAATAAGCTACCTTATCCCCCCAAATGAGTCTTCAGGCCATTTTATTCTGCAAGTTTGTTTCAGTTTGCATTTCTAAAAGCAATTTCACACAACGTGTGAAATTGTTAAACTGAGTTATTCATCAAATGAAATATTATTTCATTTGATGAATAACTCAGTTTTGTATCTTAATGAAAATGGACATGGATGCAAAACATTGAAGGTTTCTGTTGTATAAGACCCCTTAAAGGACTTTAAATAAAAAGATGCTCTTGTGTTTTTTGACTCCGTTTGTTTGGTGGGACACATTTACATCCAAATAATCCCTTTCTGTGAAATAGTCAGGTGTCAATGGCTTCATGTGTAGGGCAGTTCACCCACAGAATATACGTACACTCTCAGTTTCAATGGACAGCAAGTGTATAAAGTGTGTACGGGTAACACTTACCTAGAAATGGCATGCTTTCCCCTTCTTCGTCCAGTTGGCTAGTCTCTAGTTCTTTTGCTAACTGTACAAAATCAAATAGGATTGACAAGCAATAAATGCCAAAGATACTTTAATTTCAAAAGAGACAGTCAGGAGGCCGGCAATGAGTACCAATTCTAGAAGCTAAGAGCTGTTGGGATCTCTACTGACCTCTTCTTGGACCATCTTCTCCACTTCATCTTCACTTGGCCCTTGATAGCTGTCGATGTTCAGGCTGTCAATGAACTGTACTCCTGTTGCCTTGGGCCTCACACCTTTTGCTTTGCTTTTTCGTCCAACACGGGGTGACTGTAAGATTAGAGAAGAGATTAGAGAAGCCATTTCTTGAGATTTTGTCAACTTCATAGCTCTCTTTAATTTGGAATCTTTTTTTCTCAAGAAGACCATAAATATTTACCTTACAGTCATTGCACGCTGTGATGTTTTCCCCAGTGAAGATTTTACAATGTATTGCTTTACACAGCTTGTATCTAGTCCAAAATTATGAACTTCAACTACTTTGACCCAGTTTTCCCTAAAAGTGATGCAAATGCCTAGTTCTTAGTCTAGTTCTTAGATTTGTGTCTTGGACTACATTATGAATAAAAAAAGAAAACAAAACCAAACTCTGGCTATATCAAAGATGGATTGTGCATGGTTTGTTGCACCATGGCCAGCACTAAATCAACTGACGAGCTATACACATGTGCAACTTCTTATGGCATATGCACTACAGCAGACGAAGCAGGGAAGGGGGAACCAGGAGAGCCAGCGACTCCCCCCCATGGGGGACCTGACCCCAGCCCCCCCCCTTGGGAAGGTCCTGTATGACAGAGCAGGGCTTAATGGATTGGTCTATTAATGGCTGATGCCTGATGTTCTCACAACTGGCCTGGCCCCCCACTTTAAAACTGTTCTGCCACCGCATTCATTTTTTATTCGAGCAAATTTACTTGACCAGTACAGGACAAGCTGCAGATGGTTTTTCAACATGTCTAGATGCTAAAGACTGATTTTTGTTAGAAATTAGAGAAATCTATTTGCTTGGTCAAAAGGAGGGCAGTTTCACTAATAATGGGGCCACTCTACACAAGGCTGCATTCCTTCAAAGTTAACAAACCACCAAAAACCTGCATGCATCCCAACACTAGATGCAACCCCCTTTCTTATTTCCCATCTACATAACCTTTACCCCGCTTTTGGCTGCTGGTGGCTTGACCATCGATTTCAGACTCCCAAGATCTAACTTGGAAATCTTTTTAGATGGGGCTGGAGGCTTCTTTGCTTCTGGTGTGACCTTTACTTCTGGAGAGGGTGATCTTCTCACTGCCAAACAAAATGAAAAAAATTAACATCACTGTTAAGAGATATAACATCGCACTCTACACATCAAACCCCTTCACACATCTATCCAATTCATGCCATTCAAGTTATTTGATCCTCCACTTTTTTCAAAAGTGAGTTAAGGAGAGTAATGTTACAAGTCATTTCCCTGACGAAATTATTGGTTTGTTTTGTGAATGGGTGTTTCAGCATTTATTCAAGTAAAATTGCAACTTGTTAAATGACTCAAGGCGGGAAAAAATGGCCCTACTGCACAACAACAATGATCAATCAGCTAATGTGTAGTTAGAACAACTTGTCTGGTTTTTATCTGGGACAAATTGCCATTCATACTCTCTGAAAATCTCAGAGGAAACTCTATTCCCATGAAAGATTTTCAAAAGTAACTTCTAAATCCTCAGCCAATCAAAGTCAGGGACTTTCCACTAATGAGTACAAGGACACTTCAAAGTATTCATGACAGATGTGGAGAAAATTTGATCTGAACTGATAACTTGATTGACACTGAAAACAATGGTTCTCTCAGTTGGCTTGAGCTAAGTCTTAACAGGTGAACCCATATAAATCAATCTGAGGAGACATTATTGCAGCGGTTACATGAAAACAATGGTTCTCTCAGTTGGCTTGAGCTAAGTCTTAACAGGTGAACCCATACAAATCAATCTGAGGAGACATTATTGCAGTGGTAACATGAAAACAATGGTTCTCTCAGTTGGCTTGAGCTAAGTCTAACAGGTGAGCCCATATAAATCAATCTGAGGAGACATTATTGCAGTGGTAACAGACTCATCTGAACAGTCTTAAACTTGAGGAAGGCATGCACTTTGGCAAATCAAGACACCTCATTGGTTAACAAGGGTATGCAAAACTTGTGTACCACCTGCATGTGAGCATATGGCCATTGAAGTAATGGCTTGTGTTTCTCATCACTAAATTAGTCTAGAACTTGAATAAATCCTCACACAATGGCCAAAAATCTACAAAGGTATGTGAAGGCATCTTTGTTTTGGAAGCACAACCATGCTAAAATTAAGGTAATTTCATACAAAGAGTGACAATAGTGCTGTACCTGCGGCTCCTCCAACCTTGGCCGTTTTGTCAACAGTGGGACCCAACTTGGGAGGCACCAGGGTCGTGTACGGCACACCCATCTCATTCTCCCTTACTCTGTTGACCACGTCCGCTAAGCCTGCTTGCCCAGCAGGCAAGCTGGGTGCATGGTCAGGAACAACTTCACTTGGAGACACTGACATGCTCCCCTGTTGATCCTGTACAGCGCCCTCTGTTGGTAACACCCCTTCCACCTGTGGTTCTGACGTTACTGCTTTTTCTGAGGGTAAAGGTGATGTGCCTGTAATAACAGAATGAAAACAACAACCATATGAAAGAGTTTGCCCTCCAAGCATTATTTGCCCTACATTTTGATGAAGGAAAGAAATGGAATTTCCACTGCAGTGTGATATATGTAACAGTATTATGCATTAACTAACCTTTGCTAACAGAGGATATTTCATCTTTGTCTGCTGTGGATGAAGGCAAGATGTCATAACCATCTGCTAATAGTGCCTTAGTCTCCAACTGACCTCTTCCCTGGCTCATGCTAGACCTGCCCGAGGGAACTGGACTCACGGCCTGGGGTCTTGGACTCGGTGACTTGGCTTGGGAGCCGGGTGGGCAGTCTGAGCTGGGACTCTTCAGTCTGGCCGACAAAGCTGGGCTGAATCTCTCCTGGCCGCTGTCCACCGGCCACTGGCCACTGTTGGCACTTTCTTGTAACATGTCAAGAGTGTTGTCCTCTTCTACCGGGTTGTCAAGTAGCAGTGCATCATGGTCCACCAGCAAGGCATCTTGGTCAAGTCGATCTTCTAGCGGCAGTGTGTTGGGATCCAACTGGCTGTCTTGAATTGTTGTAGGCAAGCTGGTGGTTCCTGAAATGTAGGTGTGGTGGGAAGCAGTACTAGGTCGACTACCCTGTAAAATTAAAGATGTTACACAGCTCTATCAGCGATCCAACAGAATTTTGCATAAATTCAACATTGCATGCACTTCAAACTGATTTCAAACCATATCTACGATAGCAAACTGAAAATTCAATAACACCTTTAGCAGGAAATGATACATGGACAGCAGACCTAATAATTCATTGAAATCAGAGAACTAAAAAAAATAAATTTTGAAAAACACGAAAAAGAGACCAGGCTTTTTGCAAAGAACATATATACACGTATCTCTTACAACCATCGTTGACAGGCAACTGTCCTATCTTCATTCCAGTTTCATGCAAGCCCACGAATGCTGATTTATAGTGCTTTTAAGGAGCATGTCTGGATATCTTAAACCACTATCTTAAAGTCTAAGCCTTGATCACATAAAAATACCTACAGTGACCAATATACGTAGTACTAATAATAATAATAATTACAACATTTGTAATGCGCATTCCACAACGTTTCCAAGCACCATTATTATCCCTGCACATTGGGCTCACACATCATATGAACATTCCTGAAACCATCTCAGCTCCCTGGGGAGTATACTAGCCTAGTGCTGCCATTTCGGCACAAACGGCTAAACATAACCGTGTTTGCCCTCACAGGTACCCATTTGCTCCTGGGTGACTTGCCCAGGATCACAACGTGCTGCCACCAGCTGGATTCGAACCCCTGACCCTACGATCAGAAGCTTACAAACCCTAACCACTAGACCACATGCCTCCATGCGCTGTGCGACTTACATAATAATGCACTGGGCTGTAAACTTGCTGTTCCTGGGGCCAGTCCTCATCTGCATTGAATGATGTGACATCATTATGTTGACTAGTCATATCGGTAACAACATCTGCCAGTGAAAGAGCATACACACATTGAAATGCTATACAGTTATTCCATGCAAGCGAGCCTTCATTCTAAGTTTGCATGTCATTAAGGCGCACTGCCCTGGAAAGAAAATGTGCTGTAGCACGACCATCATACTATCAACCGATTTAGCAAACACAGTAGTCTAATAGAGGCAATTTACAATACGGCATGCCACCATGTGTTTGCCTTGACTGGGTTATTTTTTTTAACTGAAACACAAAATGTGTATCAGGCACATCTAAAAAAGTTAACATTGCCAAGTCCTTGGGAAATGCTTTATGCACAGATGTTGTTCGTTCTCCCGTAATGCACTCTGAAAAATACCTCTCTGTGGAAACATCATAAAGGTTCAGAGTGAAACAAATTCCTGTTGTCAAACTCATATAATGGGCAAGTTCTTCTTCAAGTGTCTACAAAATTCACTGTTATAGTTCCTAGCAAGAGTTGCTGACAAAAATACAGAAGGGTGAAAGAGAGGCATCACGAAAGACAAATGTATCTGAATTTCAATACCTAAACTTCAAATGTACATAGGAAAAAAGATAACTAAGGAAGAAGACACATTTCCCGACAGAAAGATCACTAGAGACTCACCATTACTGACGACAAAGTCTGCTTCAAACAATGACTCTTCGGGCCCCTGATAATACTGAGGAGATAGACCACCTGACCTGATGCTGTCGCCATGGTAACTCACATCATCATTGACCACTATTAGACTTCCCTCGTGTGACAATGCAATGCTGTGAGCATTCTCACTGCCCGGCCTCTCAAGCCCACAGTCCTCGGCTGTCAACATGCCCTTGCTACCCTGTGATGCACCGCCGAGTGACGACACATGCGACCGCACCGAATGGGCAGATGAAGCAATTCTTGACTGTGTCGAGTGTGCGCTTCCTTGTCTAACCAAGCTGGACTGCCTGGACCGAGCACTGCCATGTCTAGGGCACGTGTCCTGAGATGGCTGGTAACTCACAAGATTGGAAGGATAGGGGGCTTTGATTGGATGACCCAAGTAGGGTGAGCTCTTCAATGATGCTGCAAGTCGCTCAGCAGACAGTGATGAGCTTCTGCCGGATGCTGAGGTAGATGGCCTGTATTTTAGGAAAACATGTATAAAAGTTACTTCATAGTCTAGTCAGGAAGATCCATGATATTTTTCATTTTCAACTTCAACAGGCAAAACAATGGGCTAAGAATTCAAATCCAACAGCCCAGTAATTTTTGTTTAAAATTCCTCACTCCTTCAACTCTTCCATTTTAACAGAGCCTTCCAGGCACACTCTTTGAATTTGAACTTTGACAGAGCCGTGAAGCCTCTTGTATTAAATTAGAAGTGGATGGGTTGTTCCGTTCTCAATAGCAGATACAAGACGCTCATAACATCGCATTTCGTATCAAAAAGGGACCCTATGTCCAAGCAGTATGCACATTTCAATTTAGAAATTGGTAGCATATGCTTTACCACGCTGATGGCATATAGATCACTCTACACCTGTAATATATTCTCTTCTGTTTAGTAGTATATAGAACAATCTTCTGCATTTACAGTTCCTTCAGAGGATCTATAGGTCATAGTTGCTTTTTTCGTGGGTCTTAGACCATGTCTTTGTGGTAGTGAGTAGGCAATGCTCATAACTCAACACAAAGAGAGAGATTTCTTATTGTGCAGCACTGGACTTCAAATCACTCAAGGGCGGGTTTGTGGTTTATTTTGGAGTTCAGTGCAATTTCCTGAGCTTTTTTCAGATGAATGAAACAACATTTTCACCTTGACAATGCACTCCTGGACTGCTGCCTGACACTGCCCGCGCTGGAAAGGTTCAATCTCTGAGATGGGCTGGCCAGCCTCCGGACATCTGGTGATAATAACCCTCTGACCTCTGGTGTTGCCCTGACCTCTGGTGACCCTCTGTGGTCAATGCTCTGTAAGGCAGCTGTCAACTCACCTGCTGAGTCCACTGACACTAGGGATTGTTGGGATGGGGTCCGTGCCAGACTTCGCACCCTGACAGAAGAAATTGTTACAAAATATGAAATTCCATGAAACTTCAATTTTTCAATTTGCGCAGAATTTATTTTTAAAGTTAAAATGCAGTCATTTAGCTGATTCCTGTGATAAATTCATTTAGGCTGAAACTTTATTCATTTTTCGATTATGACAGTGTCAATTCTCTTTGACTGTATTTGTCATATCCTCTGGCAGTATTTGTAGAGTAACTGATCCTTGCGATTTAACCCTAAAACATTCTATTCTTTTTGAGCTAAACATGGACAACTGCAGCTTAGAAATAAGACATTAAAGACAAAACAGCTTTAATATAAACCGTATGGTGGCCAGTGCAGGAAAAAACAAAAGTATTGCAGAGATATCACTGACATGTAGCATGAACAATCCTTGGCTTTTTAAGGGTTGAGTACAATTAGTAACATCTCATCATGCCTGAAAATGAGCAAAGAAGAGAAGTGTTTGTCATCCTTACATGCTTCTGGACTGCATGTCCCTCAGATAGAAGACAAAGTCCGCCCCGGGCTGTGCCCTGTAATCTACTACTTCCTGACTCCCCTCCTCATCACGTATAAACTGCATATGAGTCTCCTCTCGGAAACTGTTGTCGTCACTGTCACTGTCCTCGTTCTACAAAATCAAACAAGACACATTTTATCATACATTTGCAAAAAAATACTGTGGATTCATCTGTGCAACATTAAGAAAGTTCCTGGTAAGAAAAAAAATCCTCTGATGAGGTCAATGCAAAAGAGAGCACAAACTGAACAAGGTCAGCATTCTCACCAAAATTTACTGCAGTTGACCATATATGCTGCCGCGGAGCCCAGTTTCGGGCACATAGGCTTTACACACAAAACCAGGGAGCCCAAAACCGGACAAAAGAGCTGGGCCTTGTAACAAAAGACCGTACTTAGAACAGTAGACCGAACTGCTGGGATTTGCCAACTTTTTTTCAGTTGTCAACAGCGGAGGAAATCCGTCATTATTTTGAGAGATTATACCACTGTTTGTGGCATTCAGCATGAGCGGATCGCCACCAGGGACAAAAGCGCTCAAGCGATGAGCCATACAATACTGTTGGACGCTTATCTGGCCCCTATTGAAAAGATGCCAGTAGTGCACTATGCCAGTTTTGGGAACAAAAGAAAATTGCATAACACTGCACAATCTGGGCTCTTTTTACAAGACGGCAGGCCTGGCTGAAATATTTGGACGCCAATAGATGTTGTCTGTCAGATTAAAGTAGTCACCAGACAGTTATTTGTGTGGGTGTAAACGTCCAGTAAATAAAGCTATGATTTTTTAAGAGTTTTGAAAACAGAAAATCTTGAAAATCTCCCAGTTTTACGTCATGCAACTTCAAATTCCACCCAGCAGCAAATGGTTAAACCTGTTCAACATTTGTGAAATTGATATGCTAACATTTGATTAAAGGTCACAAATTGATAACAGCACTTACTTTAAGCTGAGGATTAACCTGTTAACCAGCCCAGTATTTGACTTGAACTATTGATCTACAGCTAAATAAACTACTGGTGAATTTACTTTTGGTAACAAAATTCAATGTCTATGTATACTGATAGATGCGGCAGTAAATGCTATATGCCATCACATCAGAAGTACTAAAAATCCTGAAGTACATTCTCTAGACAATTAATGGATTTTGACAAATATACCATACCTGCAGGTGGCTACCATACTGAAGTACAGATTTGGTCAATTTGTTGACTGTACCCAGTGTCAGTGAAAGCTTGCCGATGTTTTTGCCATCTTGATCATTCTTAAAATAGCATTTTTGGTCAGTCTCTGAGAATAACAAGTTCTCTGGAGTAGTGAACAACATCAGTGCACCCTTTCGGGTCATGTAGGTCTTTGGCAGCTCAATTTGACCATCTGGCCTATGACTTTTGACCTCGGATGATGACGTCAGTGCTTTGACCAATGCCTCTTTGCTTCTGGCATGCTGCACAGAGACACTCTGAAATTTTGTTCCGTATTTGGCAAAAGTGGAACTGGAAGAGGTGTTTGTGGCAAGATCGGCCTTGGGCTTCTTGGAATATATACTGGCTGCCGACTTGGACCGTGAGAGTTTCTCTCTGAATGCCTCGGGTCTCTGAGGAGAACTGCATACGGACTTGGGTCTGGAGTACTGGGTCTTGGGAGTCTTTTCCTTGATGGCATTGACAAGCGAGTCAGCACTTGGGACCAACCGAGTCGAAGAGGTATTGGCCACTGCAGATCCAACAGCTGATTTGACTCGCAGTGGAATATTGACTGACTTTTCCAAGAACTTGGTGTCTTCCCCAGCAAGGCTGGAGACCAGGACGGGCTTACGATGACCTACCTGCTCACAGTTACAAAGACAAAATGAACATCACTGTGAACACACAGCTATCTGCAAAGCTTATGCTGGAATTTGGATTGCATGGAGATAGAAAGATTCAGTAACATCTTTCTTAAAATTTGTTGCTTTGGGACACAAAATGAGTAAAGCTTTCGCAAGCACAGTAAGTTCTGTTGTAAAGATTTGTTTCTTCTATGAGTAACTCTTATCTTTAATTTGCCTGGCTTATAACACTGTTCCCTGGCCATATGAACCGAACAGGTTTTGTAGCTTCCAAGTTTTAATTTGTGCCCGTTAACAGAACATCAAGAATACGGTGGACCAAGAACTGAAAAAGAGAGTTACTGACCGTTCCATCCTTGGCTACCTCCAGATCCCCCGCCCAGGAACCACACCCCCTTGCTAGGGTGCTTAGCATAGTGACTGCAATAGGCAGTAACTTCTTTCCTCAGGTTGTTTACCCAGATACTGAAAATGAAATGATTTATGCTAATTGTTAATTCAATTATGGCAAATACAGGTACAATGATAGTCAACTTGGTGTACATCTTCATTATGATGACTCTTGACTTTTATGCCTACTGGCTGGCAAAGTGAGTGCAAGTTGATTTGGGTTGGGTCAATTAAGTATCATACGTAGACTGTATTATCACCTGACAATTGTTAAATGTTAAAAGAGGGGATGTAGAGTCCTAGTTTAATATTCAAACAATGGTTTACAAATTTCCATTTTCACTGACAAATGATTGTACAAATTATCACATTACATCTTTACTTGTATGTTCAGTACAATCTTTGAAAGTGGGCATGCAAGTTTTAAATTTGCACAATCACAGATATTGCCATTTAAATTGCACACAGTGATAAAAATTGTGTGAAACATGTATTGTAGACAATGATAAATTTGGAGTAATATTACCTTTTGGTTGGTTTTTGATTTTACCTCAAATTTGTTCAAAATGAACTTTTTCCTAATTAATTTTTAATAGGGTTATATTTTTATTTAGTATTTTGTAGTACATGTTTTATCATCTGGTGTTCTGATAGGTGCTTGGAATTTTTAACTCTTTGTGAATTGTTTTAACTTTTGTACAGATGGGCGTTCACAGTTTTAGCAGCTACTGGTGGGAAAATTTGAGCAGATTGAAAATATGCGCAACCTAAAAAACTGCAAAAGTAACATTGTGCAAGTTGTGCAAATTTCAAATTTGCACACTTTCAAAGATTGAATACTCCTCTGTCGTATACTGGGCCCTGTTCCGATTAATAGGGATTTCTTTCAAAACTTTATCCGGGACATCTGGGGGCATAACTAAACATCCGCTTAATTTTATGAGCTGAAATTGCACTGGTATGTTCACTACTTACGCTGTAAAAAATCCACTAGGTTGCTAATTGTAGAAAACTTGCCTTTTCCTCGTTTAGAGCAAAAAATGTTGCCTTTTTTGCCTTCCCACTCTGTATGATTTTTCGCATGACTTGTACATTACACAGACTCCTTTTTATGGTTAAGTAATGGTACCCTGTACGAGAGCCTGTCTAGTTTGCACCCAAACTTCAGCACCTACGAATGCCGTTTAGATCTGTGGGAGTACCTGTCGATCTAACTTCTAGTAGAAAATTACGGCTGTCTTGTTGCAGCTAATATGCAATGCTCTTGGCTGGTTCCCTGTCCAGTCACACACTGTTGGCGGCATATCATTGGTAGAATGGCTCACTTTCTGTAATGTGACACAAAAGTGAGGAAACAGCCGTCGCTTTTGTGCAAGTGGGGCAAACTTCGTACAGAGTGGGAAAACTGCAAAAAAGGCAACATTTTTTCCTCCGAACGAGAAAACAGCGAGTTTTCTACAATTAGCCACCTAGTGGATTTTTTACACTGTAAGTGGTGAACATACCGGTGCAATTATAGGTCATAAAATCAAGCGGATTTTTAGTTATGCCACGGATATCCTGGATAACTTTTATGAATCGGGAAAAGGCCGAGTATATGACGGAGGAGTACTTGTCGGGCCCTGTTTACAGGTCTAGACAAGGTGGCCTACAGACCCCATGCTGCAGGGTAAATTACCGGTACACTAGCTGTGCACAGTACACTATGTACATGTTGTCATTTGCTTTAATGGCGCTTTCAAACAACTCGGGCTATTTGCGCCAATAACTGTACGTTTATTCATACACTTTATTAGTCAGCATCACATTACGGAGTTAGGAAGAAGGTCCAGTTTTAGAGGCAGGAGGAAACTGGAGTACCCAGAGAAAACCTGCGAGAGCGAGTATGGACCAAATGCACTTAAAGCCTGGGCCAAGCTGGGACTCAAACCCGGGCCTCATTGGTGCAAAGCGAGGAAAGAACCGCTACGCTAACCCGCTCCCCCTCACAATGTACAAGTACACCATAGCTTTGTTTACACTGCACTCAGCGACTTTATTGTTGCGGTGTCTACACCTGTGCTGTGCTACGTCCATGGCACAATATCATATGCAGCTGTAACAACGCGTAAAAAGTTCCCTTCCACCATTTCCACGTCAAGTACTCCATGACTGGATGTTATTATTGCACCACTTGCATTTGCTCGCCTTTGATTATTCAATCAAAATTTATTTAGCAAAATACAAATTTACGAATCAACTGGTACTCACCATTAGAAGGATTAAAAACTGCCATGGTGTAACTATCAAGAAGTGAAGATTTCTGCGTCTTCATATGTTGGGGTGTAGTTTACAGGTGGTCCATCAACCTCCCGTTGCTATCATGTTGTTGTCTGATTGATTGCCGAGCCAGCAACAAAAGCGGACTGTTCTACTTTTAAAAAGAGGGGAGGTAAGTCAAATTTACCGACAAAAATATTCTTAAAAAGTTAATAAGTCCTAAAGTGATGCTACATGTTATTTTTTATTTAGAAAAGTGTATTTTTATGCAAAAGGGTAATTTTTGAACGAAACCAGTGATTCAGAAAGATACACCATACACGGAGGTAAGAAAAGATCCCCACCATGAATTAGTAGGAGCACTCAATATGTTCTCTGTCATATCTGAGCTATGAGCTGAGGAGGAGCAAGTAGACGAACAACCGAACAATTGTGACCTTTTACCTTTGTAGGGCTTCACCAAAATGGTTTGTGTTTTACATTTCTACACTTTTTGTAATCGTTCAAATCAGCTACTACTAGCAACCATCAGTATTTTTAGTCTTTGTTACGTATGCTTAGCATGTTTTTCTTAATGATGATATGAATTTTATATGCAAGAACTATTTAAATTATCCGTTATTGCATGGTAAAGGATTGGTGTTATTTACAACCGAGCTGTATACTAAATCGTGTATACGTGGCACTCTCTGTTGTTAATCATTAACGCTCAGGCGGCGAGGCATAAAAAGTAGGCCTAAACAGAAATGCTCTAGTACAGTGTCGTGTTTGGAAAATTGCATTTGAGCTTGGGAACTACTGGTTCGCCTATTAACGTTGTGATTAGGGCGTTAGGCACCAGTAACATGCCCAATTTCCAAGATTTCCCGGTCATTGCTTGGTCATGCTGGAGTCGAATGGTGGCTAACACCTAGGCCTACATGGCCTACGTGTAGCCTACTTGGAATCTAATTTCAGACTGTAGCACTGGAAATTTTATTTAAATAAGGCCTACCACTACAAAAATCAGTTTGAAACAGCAAAACCTTCGAAAAGAGCTCTTCGATCGTGTTCAGTAGGCCTAGGCCTAAATCATGCTTTGTAAAACCTTCAGTCAGTTAAGGCACACATCACAGATTGCCCTCGTATTTGGAGAAGTCCCTTTATTCGAGGATGAAATCAGTCCCTGGAAAGAGAGAATGTCCCTCTAAATGGGGACAGTTTTTTCAAGTGAGCTTGGTGATCCTACCATTGCCAATGATTGCATGCTCTGGGGATCCTTTTAAATACCCATGGCTGCCGTAAAAAAAAATCTACCATTTACTTCTACAAGTACAAGCAGGAGTCTGCAATGACACATAAAGGGTGGGAAGAAGGCTTCATCAAAACACTTTTTCTGAAAATCAATTCCTTATGGTACATGTACATGTATAGTTAATCAAGTGACACGGCACAAAGTTCATAAAACAACTTAAACTTAATATGAATGGAAAATGTGGGAGAAAAATCTATGATAGTATGTGGATATTTTTTACCTAAGCCCACTTTGGAAAAATGTCCCCTTTTAAAGAGTTTTGTCCCCAAATGAAGGGACTTCTCCAAATACAGGGACAGTCCCTGAGTTGTGATGTGTGCCTTTACTGTCAGTTTAAGACTGCCTGTCAAAGGTATTGTTTTCATGATACATTTATGTAATGTCATGCCCTGTAAATTTGAAGATAGAAAAATTTCATTATTTTGACCTCATTTGTTGTAACGCTCATATTTACCTCATTCAATTTAAAAAAGAGAATTGATTTTCTTTTTTTCCAATCCTAATAGGCTTCAGTGGAGTCAATGAGCCGCTATTTGAGCCCGGTCAATCCGGCTGTGTTTCCTCATCTCACCTTGACTCTCCTGTCCATTGGCATCTTCTTCACAGCTTGGTTCTTTGTGTATCCTTAATGCTAACCGTCCTCCATCCTCCAAAATCCTCTGGATGCTTTTAGAGGATTTTGGAGGACTGAATTTGAATGGCAAAAGAGTGTGTCCGATTGTCAATGATGGATTTTGCCATTTGTTTTTTGTTCAACCTTCTATTATTCACGCTCTGCTATGCATAAATTCACGCCTGGAGTATACTTGTCAGAAACCGTCCACACAGGTCCTGGATACCATTTGCACTGCCTCCACATAATGACAGGAATTGCCAGAGGATTGGGTTTGACAGACTGGGGTAGTATGGGCCATCAGCACAGGCTCCAAGGAACACACAGGGGGGTATTTAGGGACAAGAAACCTGAGATGTTGGATTATGTAGACTGTCTCCAATTTTGGCATGGAGGCAGTTGAATGCTTTAGAGATGGATAGGATTAAGAATTTCACCCATTGCACCTTTACTGATTTTGGTCATGATGCCCTCTGTGATATTCCTTGTTAGGGGAAATTTTGTTTGTCTCTCGAAGCAGTTGAGCTTTAGTTCTGTCCATATCCGGAACAGGAACTTCACATCCAAAGCTTTTTAGTTGATGAAAATTACATGTTTAGATGCTCATTCAGAGGCCACTTTCTTAAGGGTTCAAAAGATTTTCACAGATCATACGATGGCTGATTAAAAGCAAGGGGAATGCCCTGAACCTGTTTTATTTGCGATTTGATGGGGAAGGAAGATAGCTGATACTTGGGTTGCATTAAACCAGTTGAATACAGATGGTCCTTCCTTGACTGGTACGATAGATATGAGGTCACATCAACCAAGTACACCCGTGATTTTTACAAAGAGCTGCTCGTAGCTTTGGTAGCCAGTCTATTCATGGGCTCCGGCATCCTGTTTCTGTTACTGTGGGTGGGGATTTATGTCTGACCAGCGTTGTATCTACCTGTGTGTCTGTCCCCGTCTGTCTTAAATGGTAAGCATTTTGTAGAGCATAACGGCAGCTGTACGGTAGTTTGTCTGGTCAAAGTTGTTTGAAAAATTGCTTCCAAACCTGGACTTTGATTCTCACTCTTAGCATTCATGGAAAGGAGCTTGTACTTTAATCATTCAAAGGAGAGTGGTATATTTTGTGCTATGGCCAATGAGATCAGTGCTTCAAGGTTCAGATCTTGAATCTAGGTTCTTTATAAAGTAGATTTTCAATTACAATTTTGGCAGTTGTATTTTGCCTGCACAGATATTTGACCAAGCTCCATGTCAATTGACATCATGCTTCTTTGTTCCTCTTTTTGACAGATTCAACTAACATAAGTGCTATCCTCTGCACAGCTCGTCAGTGCCCTAAACTTGCAGCTACAACATACATCAGTAACAGCCCTTGAGAGGTGTCACAGACAAGCCATCACATTCCAATATTATACATTAGCTTTGCACTCTTCATGAATCACGGGCAGTCTTTCTAATCTGGTCTGATCAACATACATATACTATTATGCTGGTGAAAATTAAATCAAGTACTAACTCCTTGGAAGCTGTGAATGTACCCTGTCGTTGCAGAGTTTTGTGAATGTTCTTGAATTTTCCAAAATTCTCAACCATGATGTGATTGAAACCACTGGCATGGTCACTGTGTTTCAACTTCCAAGGGGGCATCAGAACCTACGCAGTGTAATAGTGGATGGACTGTAATCCTTAAATCCTGCAAAATCTCTTAAATCTGTTAGATTTTGAAGGATGTAGAGGGTGTGTTGTACTGACATTGAGATCTCATAATATACAGTGTATAATGTACATGTGATTTGACTATTGTAAGAAAACTCAAAGATTTTCAGGTTAGGATATTCAATTTCAAAAAAAGTGGGATTTATTCCTTGTTTAAGAGCCGCAAGTTAATGTTTTACACAAATCATTTCACTTGCTCTCTTCTTAATTTGGATACTTGTCATTTCTGTGTGCACCATTTTTCACTAGCTTCAGCAGCTCAGTGTCCGAAGGGGGAATGTTGTGGCTCTGGCTAGTTATTAGTTGCCATTAGCATGCCATAATAGCCATAGCCTACCCATGTCAGATACAATCCATGATTAAAGATTGGGATCAGAAAGTTGGGTTGGAAATTTAAGGTTTCAGTGCAAATGATCTATTGTTGCTGTCACGATTAGAAAGGAAACTAGAATTTCTTTCTCAAGTGGAAATAAAGCGGTCTAAATTTGATAAGACATGGCTGGATTTTATTCATTTTTTGTGAAAACATTTGAATTTGTCCCTTGCAAAACAAAATTGTAATTTAGATGTTTTTTAATCAAACACTGACGCACTCGCATCTGTGATCACTCCTTTTTTTTTATTTGACAAATCACCTGCAGGACAATTCACTCAAATGGCTACAAGAAAAATGTTTTGGTGTATCAAAAAGGAAATTGCAAACCGACCCAGGAGAATTACAGCATGCCCCTCCCATAAAGGCTTTGCTGAGCACTATCTTAAGACATGGTTTTCTTTCAATGAACCAGTACAACTGTTTGGGTAAATCAGAGTTTGTGTTAAGCCAACCGTGGGATTCACTGTAATGCCATTTCTAATGGCACGTCTTTGTTTCTCATCATCTTCAGCCATGGTTTATGCAGACCCAAGGGCACAAGTGTGATTTCATCTAATAGCTGGAAGATTCAGAGCCACAACCGAGAACATGTATCGAATATGCAAAGAACAAAAGATTCCAATCTTAGTAAGGGATCTGTCCCATTTTGAGGGATTTTTGGTGCAGAGGATAACATGAAAACTTAAGTCACCAATATTCAGCTTTTTAGCTGTTTTTTTTGGTTGAGCTGTTAACCCCGAATTTCAGCTTTTTTGTGCACCTGTACACCTGTATTTCAGCTTTTTGCTAGCTGTTTTCGGCTTTGATTTTAAGTGGCCAGTCACACCCCTGAGCAATACTGAGCATAACGGACATTTTAGTAAAGAATGTCAGCATATTAATGCATATTTGCCCAACGTTTGCCCCTAGGAGGCAGATAACCCCCTACTGTTTGCATAATGGATATTTTTAAGGTAAGAAATTGTAAGGGCAGGCCAGGAACCTTGTACAATGTCTGTGCTCGCTCTTCAAAGACGACGACACTTCTTTCATCCAATCAGGTCCAATCAGGGACCTGGCCTTGTGAGCAATGGCATCAGTGAGCCAGTTCAGTTTTCCAACAGGACATCCACACAATGGAGTGCATTGTAGGTCATTTGAGAACATGGATGCATTTATTCCTTGTCGGCTTATTCGTGCAGCCGTATGTCGACTAACACTGAAGATGTTGGTGCTGGCATGACATCAGGTGCTTTGTTCTTGATTGACCTTGCCTTTTTGAAATACTGAACTGGCTTGTTCTGCCTTTGATTGGTTTCAAGTTTGCCCTCAGGAGAATGCTTACTCCCTCTAAAAACCCAGTATAAATAATGCTTTCTCTCCTATCAAGATGCACACATTACAGCGACACACAATCAGTACCACACAAACTTGAAGTGACATCAATGGATGAAGAACGTTCCCGCTGTTGTTAATGTTCTGATTCATCTCTTCCTAAAAAGGCAAACAGGAAAAAGGAGAAAAAAAACAAAAATTTGGGTCAGATACATTTTGAACCCCATTACAATGAACGCTTCATTTGACTACATGGAACATACCTCTTGGTTCCTTATTCTGTCTGAAATACAAGCCACATCTCACAACACTGAAGGAAGGAACACTATTCCTGAATCATCACGCGCAATGCTCTAAAACATGCCTGCAAAATTAAGTTTTGGAGGTCCTAAAATTTAGCAGTGCTAAAAGTTAAACTCATCATGACGGACTACAGTGACCGTGGAACTCAGAGGTGAAGGCACTTTCAAATGACGACTGGAATCCTACTGTGACATAGGGTCTCATCCTTTGGGAACAAGTGACGGCATGAGACAGTGAGTGCAAATATCACTCGGTTTCTCTAACCTTGGCGCAGCCTTGACGATGTCATCCACACGGAGAATCATCTCAGCTGCCTCAGCGGCGCTATGGAGGACTTGCTTCTTGAGTTGGTACGACTCGATCACGCCCAGCTCAATCATGTCACCCACCTTCCCTTCATTCATGTCTAGAGATGAATCAATAGGAACTGAATATTTAACTTTTCAATGCCCTCGTCACGTTCAAACGACTTAACACTGAACTGCTGCACAAGGCACTGGAGATAGCATTGAGCAAAGCAGTAGTCACCAAACTCTAGTTCTCGAAAGGCAGTGTCTGAATAGGCTTCAAGTGCTATACACAACAGCATCTACTGTGCACAGACCTGTATGTTTGCACCAAATCCTGGCATGCTTTGAGTCTCAAGTCACTCGTGTTAAAGAGTACAAAAAATGTGAGTCACTTAGGTTTGATCCTACCTGTGAGACACCAATACACAACAGTGATTGTGGGCACCGAAACCGCACAAAGTGCAGAGAACTCTCCCTTACACGTTTTGCACGTGCACCCCAGCTTGCAAGCATTTCAGAGTGCACATTCAACTGAAAACTGGTGGTGTTGACTGCCCGTTGATTAGGCACGGGGCTCGACCAGCATACGGAGAGTGTGTCAAATGCAGTGTCAAGTCGGTATTTTGCACAAGTAGCCAACAAAACTGTCTCATCAAAGCCAGATACCAATCTACGTCATTTGTGACAACTTACTGAGTCCCATGGTGTGCTTTCCCTGGGTGTGGAGAGCTCTCAGTTGGGCAACAAGCTGTGCACTGTCATACCCTGCGTTGTCAGCTATGATGGTAGGTAGCTATGAAAGAACATCCAACAAGGTTTCTTCAGTGCAGAATAATTCAGTCAAACAATAAAACAATTAGAACACTGAAACCAGCATGCGTACCTTCAAATTAACCAAATGTAAGAATTCCTGGCTTAGCAGAAACAGGTTTCCAGCCAATGTCATGCAATGTTGTATTTATAATGACTGGTTCCCGGCTGAGTTTAACAAATAAATTTCTTAAACAATGTTCAGCGAGTGGAAAAGGCATTGACGGACTTGATCATCTGCTAACTGGCCCGAATGATGCATATCCATGCTTGTCAGAACTAACCTTAGTGAGGGCTCTTGCAAAAGCTTCAATGGCTACAGCCTCCTTCCCGGGGGTTTGTGCTGCTAGTTGGTGAACTGCATTGGCCATTAGCATTTCGGAGCAACCTAGGTTAAGACAATGAGATAATGGGCAACATATCTTAGAGGCTGGTGATTTCATATAGGCATCAATATTGAATCCTACACTAGAGGGATCACACGAGAACGCCAAAGGTTCACTCTCAATGGCAATTTGAAATAATCACCTTAACCACTTCCTGCCAGGTGGAGTTAGCGACAAGCATCACCAGCTGCTGGGCGCTTTTTAATTTTTTTCCATGTTCAAAATTCTTCAAAAATTAGCATTTATTGCATGCATACCCTCAAACAAATGACTGTCTTGTGGCGAGTCTTATCTGACAGGCAACCTCCACTGACGTGTGAGTATTGCAGCCAAGCAGGCTGCCCAGTAAAGAGCCCCCATTGTGCGGGTGTTGCGTAATTTCCTCTTTGTTCTGGAAATTGGCCCAGTGCATTGATGGACGACGGTGTTGTCTGTACAAATCCAGCCAGATTCCACGAGCACCCAGTGGTATTGTACTGCTCATCGCTGGAGAGCTGTAGCGCTTTTGTCCCCGCTGATAATCCACGGGCACCGGCAGTGGCAAACAATGGTACTATTTCCAAACATTGAGGGATGACCTCGGCTAAAAATGGTCAGCACAGCATATGAACTTTGATTGACAAGTCACAGCAGCTGACTTGACAGCAAGTAAACTTTTTCTAAAAACACTGAGCGACTTCATATTTTTGTTGTAAAGGAAAGTTCCGATTTTGGGCACCCTGGCCAAGGGCATACAGCCAAGGTCTCTGGTGCAGGGCTCCCCATCAAGAAGAGGTTAAGGGCTAACAACTGACAAGTGAAAAAAGGCCCAAAGTTCACTCCAAGATCAGATTACTTCATAACTGTGACTGAGAGCATACAAAAGCATCCTTAGTCATTAGGTAAACTGAACTTACGAGCCAACAGAGAACTCCTGCAAATCTTTTGTTTTGCTAATACGAGACAGAGTGTACTCTGTCTCGTATTAGCAAAACTGTAGGCACATCACACAAACTGCTCTGCCTGAACTTTGTTGGTTATTTTGGGGCTAAATCACTCAATGGCCCCACTGTAACACAAGTCTGAGTTTAAACCAAATCCCGCAAACGGCAAGATGTTGTTGCGTTAAGCAGGGCTCCTACCTGAAATACTGTAGGGTGGATTAAGGTCAAGCTAAACAAGATATGCTGTGGCATTACCTCCTCCTAGTACCGTCTTGTAGGTCTTGGTGGTCTGTGACAGAACACACAGGGCATCGTGTAGTGAGCGTTCCACCTCGTCTAAGATCTGCTCGGTAGCCCCACGGAGAACAATGGTGCATGCCTCACCAAGGGCTACGCCCGAGAAGCGAATCAGCTTGTCCTCCCCTGTCAAGGTCAATCAAAGACAATGTAGCATTTGTTATTAACAGCTTGAGGAGTGGACAGTCTTGACTTTCAGATTTGTACAAATACACAGAAACAGACCTACTAGTTTTCAGTGGTAAAGTTTAACAACTGTGTCGTTGGAATTGTAGAATCCTTCCACTTTAATCCCATAAAATTAGATTTTAAAAAATGAACGTAAGTAATGCCACTGTAGTGACTAGACAAATAATCTTAGAACCTTACATTACTTAGAACATCTGAGTACTTTAAAGTTCTCTGATGTCACCAATGGCATTTTCTTTGCCCTTCTAACTTTTACAGGGCATCAAGCCCTGAGAGAAGTAATACTGGCTGAGCTCTACCTCCCTCAATTCTACACAATCCTCAAAAAACTCCCAGGCCGATTTTTAGAAGGCTCTTGGAGGGAACGGTTTATAGCCTACCAATCATGACCTCCTCAATGACATCACAGTGGCCCAGTTTGACCAGCTCTGGGTGATCAAACGTGGAGACAATTTCTCCGCCAGTGACCAGCGCCAGACGCTCAATGCCGTCAAAGTCAGCATGCTCGATGGCCGTGATGCCGTTGTCAGCAAACAGCTGTTCTGGGTAGTTGTAAATCAGCTGCCTGTTGGACCCAAATTGAGTTTTCATTCTCATTTGCTTGAATCAATCTGCCTTTCATGTTACTTTTGTTTTGGTATTTCCAAGATGTATTTTTTGGGGAGTCGGGGAGATGTTAATTTAAATAACGGGTTTTGCCCTTACCCAACATATATATTGATAAACACTGTATGCTCAGTGCTTGTCCGAGAGCTTGCGAAAAAATTCACAAGCTTACTCGGGTGGAACTCGAACACACGACCTCCTGCTCACTAGTGCAGACGTCTTAACCACTCGACCATCAAGCTTGCTGGGGTCGGCTTTTGTTTCGGTAGGTACCATCAAAAATTTGTGATGATGAACACCACATGGCAACCTTTTGGAACCCTCTACGGTTTGGACAGGTAAGAACATGTATATGCCCCTTCAACGAACCTAACAAGGTGGATGTATTCCATATTGCTTTATAGAAGACTACTGACAGACGGACAAGGGGCAAAGTGCTTTGGAGGGTTTAGCGCAGCAAAGGTTAAAAAACTTGTCCTAGTTAGTAACCACAGACTTGCGCACTCAGTTCATTTCTATTTGTTCTCATTTAAAAACCAAAAACTTTAAATGCCAAAGTTATGATTTTCACAGGTTTACAAAATACAAGAGCTTTATTGTTTTTCTCCGGAACGGTCGTCAGTTATGGGTGGCTTAATGATACAAACAGCAGCTTATAACGGTCTACCTCAAAGGGATTTAAAATGAACAACTATGGTTTTGAAAGCAGTTTTAAAATTTTAAAATGCTGCTCAATATCACGTCCTTCAATTTTGTCTTTAACACGACAGAAAATAGCAGTTCTGACACAGGCTGGAGTAGAAACTCCATTGGTAGAGAAAGCAATATTTTCCCAGTTCCCTGTAGGCATTTCAGTACCTGTTGATGAAGACGTTGATGTCATGCTTGACAATCTTCTGTACTTTCTCCTTCATCTTCTCCTTCTCAGCCAGCTCTAGTTCTGCAACCTTGGCCATCGCGTCAACACGCACCCTAGAACCAAAAACCTACGACAAACAAACAAATCAAACATAAGGGAGCCTTCCATTTTCATCAGGGTCATTCTATAAATTAAGGGTCAATTTTTTTCTCGTCCAAGTTAAGTCTGGCATTTGATTTTAAAGTTAAGAACTCATTGTAAATTTCAAAGACGGAATAAGTACTACAAATTATCTGCCAAACAAATAATGGTTTGAAATCAATTTCAGTGATACATCCTTT